CGTCCAGAGAAGCCGGGCGACGATGCACGAAACGAGGCGGGTGAGCAGCAACCGTCGTCAGTGGAGCTGGCACGACATGCGGCAACAGCCCCGCGCTCGACAAGTGGCGGCGTAAATATCAGCAACCCTCTCATTTCGACCCACCGTGACAGTGCGGCAGTGGATATTCGCCATGAATATATATATTTTAACGCGGCGAGCATTAGAGACGATTAGAAGCGGACCAGCTACGTGTTAACACTGTTGCAAGGGGCCGCTTTATAGTGGTGGAACTCGCACAGAAGGATAGTACGAGTGGTCCGAAGAATTTGGCAACGAGGACGAGGCAGACTTGTTGTTCAGAGCGACCCACATTCGTACGTGGGCAACGTGGTGTGCAGAGCTTCGCAAGTGGTTTGAGCACGCCCCTGACTCAGACAAGGCACGCGAAACTCTACGCATGTGGAAGCAGCTGGGATCTGTGTCCGAATATACCGCGTCATTCTTGACGTTGGTGGACAGATGTGGCTTCATGGACGAGTTGGAGAAGGTTGACGGGTACATGGCCGGCCTCAAGCCTGAAGTTCAGTACCAGAAAAAACTGCAATACCTGCGAAGCGGTTACAAGACTACATCCAGCTCGCCGAAGCCACTGATTTGATCACGAAGCCGAGGACGAACTTCTTCGGCGGAGGTCACCCTCGAGAACAGAACCCGCGCGCCACGATAGAAGGGGTGGACGTAGTGGATATTTACGCAGTTGCTCCACGAAATACGGGGCGACGCTACCACTGTGGCCGACCGAATCCTATCCGACGCAATTGCCAAGAATTCATAGCCCTTCAGAATTATATTGCGGAAGAAGTGCTGATCACCCAGTGTTGGTGGAGGGTAAAGTCAACAGAGTGTTTCTAAAGGTTTTCATTGATGGAGGCGTGAGTCACAACCTCATACAGCTGGACAATGCTAAGAAATTGGGTATACCCTTACTAAGCTGTTTACCTGAGATTAACGCCCGACTGGTAGATGGCACGCCGCTGGCAATACGGGAATGGGTGGAGAACGTAAGCTTTGCCTGTGGGGAGCACGTAAAATTTCGGATGGGGCTGCTAGTGAAGACTCTTGACGGGTGCGACGTGCTGCTGGGACGTGCTTGGTTGCGATGGTACAATCCGAAGATCGACTGGACGACGGACGGTTGCAGCATCAAGCTCGATGGAATATCCAGAGAGCTGCCCAAGTGGACAGGGCCTCACATGCGAAGCACCCAAGTCCATGCAATCACCTTCAGAAGGCGTTGTACGCTGGAGCTGAAGCGTACACCATTGATCTTCGTGAGCTGGCATCGACGGTCGAGAACGAAGACACTGAAAAGCTGTGCAAGGCCTTCCTTCCGGATTTGACGGACCTTATTCGAAAGTACTCGCAGATTTTTCCGGACAATCTGCCAGCTGGACTCTCGCCGAGCCGACCTGTGGACCACCGAATCGATATGGAACCAGGCGCCCAACCGGCTGTATAGCGCCAGTTTCGGCTCAGCCAACCAGAACTCGAGGAATTACCCCAGCCGCTGGATTACTTACTGGAGAAGGGATTCATCCGGCCCAGCACAAAATGTGTATTGACGCAGAATGATGGAGGATTCAAAATGTGTATTGACTACCGCGCGCTCAACCAGATCACCATCAAATCCCGCTACCCGATTCCGCGTGCCAACGAGCTTCTCGACCAACTTCGCGGAGCTAGGCTTTTCTCGAAGATCGTTTAACAAAGAGGTTACCACCAAATTTGCGTCGCCACCGAAGTTTATAACAAGACTGCGTTCCAAACACGATACGGTAGCTACGAGTACATGGTGATGCCTTTTGGCCTCACGAACGCGCCTTCAACATTCCAGATGACCATGAATAGAATTTTCAAGGAATTTCTTAGACAAGTGTGTAATCATCTACCTCGACGACAATTTGATCCACAGCAGAAGCATTGAACAGCACGTACAAGATCTTGATGCAGTCTTCACGCTGCTGCACAAGAACCGGCTAATCATAAAGGGGTCGAAGTGTGAATTTCTTAAGAAGGAGTTGGAGTTTTTGGGACACATCGTCTCCACCGAAGGCGTAAAGATCGACTCGAAGAAAATTCAGACCATACAGGAGTGGAAGCAGCCGTGAAACGTCAAGGAGCTGTAGAGTTTTTTTTTATTCGTAAATTACGTCCGCCGCTTTATCCCCAATATGGCTGGGTTATCCGCCCCGCGAACCGACCAACTGAATGATCACGATTGTTTTTGGTGGGGGGAGAAGCAGCAAGCTGCATTTGACCAACTGAAGATCGCCCTCACGTCCGCCCGTCCTTCGCATCTCCGATCCTGACCATCCATGTACAGTCATCACCAATGCCCTGACCCGCCCCACTGCCCATACAGCCGCCATACTAGTTTCCCAGACCAACCCACTCCTCACAGGCCTATTTATCCACGGTTACAAAAATGACCCATTCTTCCGCTTAGCCATTCACCAACAGCACACGACCGCTTCCGGCCCTTACTAGACTAAGCGAGACACTTCTCGCCTCAGGGTTACTGGCTACGATTTACTTCGTACCCTTCTTATCCAGGAGACAAACGACAATCCAACCTCCTGCCACTTCACAGTCGACAAAACCATGAAGACGATGCAGTGCCATTATTTCTGGTCCAAGATGGCTGACATGCGCAAGTACGTATCCTCCTGCACCGCCTGCCAAATCATGAAATCATTCCATCAGCGAGCACCCGGACTACTACAGCCGTTGGATCCGCTCAAGCAACCCTGACAATACATCAGGATGGACTACGTGACAGGACTACTGGCCAGTCCCAGCGGAAACGACGCCATCCTCATGGTTGTTAACCGACTCACGAGAATGGCGCACTTCATCGTCTGCCAACAGAAAGTTACAGCTGAGCATACTGTCCAACTGTTCATCGCCAACGTCATCCGACTGCACGGATTACCCACCGCCATCATTTCTGACCGAGACCCGAAATTCACATAGAATTTTTGGCGCCACATGTGGGACCAGTTCACCACCAAAGTACAGTTTTCCTCCGCCTACCACCCACAGACCGACGAGCAGACCGAACGAGTCAACCAAACTACCCAATATCGAGACCCCAGTGCCCCAGTCCCAGCAAGACATCCTTGCCGCCCGAGAAAAAGCAACCGAGGCCATTCGGAACGCCAACCTGCAAGCCGACAAGCCGATCACCACCGACGTGATGTCACCTACAAAGTGGGGGACCTCGTGTTACTCGACATTCGCAACTTGTGCCTGCCGATTTCGAGCCAACTCTGCCCCGCTACTGTGGACCTTTTCAAGTGACCAGCATGGTGACACCTGTCACAGCACACCTCCAACTCCCGGCTGACTAGTGTCACCACCCGGCTTTCCACGTCAGCCTCTTACGACCCTATGTCCCGAGTTCGTCGGATTTGGCAAGATAGCGAATCGTCCCGCAGTTGATGCCCCTACAGGAATCGAAAACCGAGCCTCGGAAAATTCTCTGCCATCGCGTAACCACGCAGCAGAACCGTTAGATGGTGGATTTTTCAATCCGCTGGCGTGATCGGACGTTTGAGGATGACAGATGGGTGCCCCTCGCTGATATACAATCACACCCGATTATAACAGCGTATTATCAGCGTCGGAATGTTTCCGATGTCCGCAGCCTCGTTTAGGAGGTGGAGGTAGTGTAAGGAATTTCCATTCCTTACTGAGTCGTACGCTAACGCGTATACCCGAACTCCTCGACTCGTTACGTTCGGCCTCATTTGTCGGCTCAATCCTTTCCCGAGTCGCGTCTGGCACTGTCGCCACATTGCCGAACCTGCCCATGTCCCGAGGTTATCGCCCTAGCACGCCAACCCCCATATAACCTCGTGCCTTCATTGCAATAGCGACCTTGTATTCTCACGTCATTATTAGGGCGCGCTACATTGCGTCCGTTTCGGGGGATATCGATTCTGTCTGAGTAAAAACGATCTGCAATATCAACCACTTTCGCTACATAGCCATGTCCCAGATTTGCAACTTCCGATCTCGAGTATCGATTTGCAGCTGGATAGCATAGCATTTCGCAGAACACTTCGTGAAAACCCAGCAACCCTCCCAGGTGATTCGCAATTTCCAACACACAGTACACCGCGACTCGAGTCCACCCAGCATTTTTCGCAAAGGCAAGCTGGCGATGCGCTTATGATTTCGTGGCATTTGGGGTAGGCTATCTGGGACTTTGTGGAGGAGGTTTGTTAGTGTTTTTGACGTGCGATTGATTCCCGGTTTTGCTTCGAAAGTGATCCTGCCCTCCAATCTGCTACATGACTATTTGGAGGCTTCTGTAGCTGTCAGGTTACCATCTTTCTACAGTGCCGAGATCGGAAAATGATCGGAGAGCCGGACGCAATGTAGCACATACTGTCTATATCATAACAGACATTGTGAAAGTTTGGTTGTTTTGACGACAGGTGGCGAGTTCGATTGGGTTTCGTTTTTCCAAAACCGAACCAGCTAGGATGCCAGCGTCGGTTTTTCCTGCCGATGCCCGCGAGTGCATGCAAAAAAGGCACGCCCTCAGCCCCCCCAGCCCCAGGTCCCTCCCCGAAAGTGAAACTGCATTAGGGCCAAGTTATACCGCGTGTCAAGCATGTGATACAGCCCTACCTGACACGTGGAAGCACATACTGCCCGGGTGTCAGGGAGTTTGACGCTGGCGGCAATATTTCCCGCTCTCCCAAACCCGGCGATAATAGCGTCTACCAGTCAGTCTCAGTCTCGCAAACCAATTGTAATGCCCCACGACTTAGTTTTGCGACGATCAAACGGCTAACAAATCTCGCCCAGACTCGCTAGTGCCACCTGCCGTCAGTGGTCGCGCAGTGGCCGTCAGGTCGACCTGTCCCACGGGTCAGCTCACCAACCCCTGTAGCGACCGCCTAACTTTTCGCCAGAACATTCACCTCCCCCTCCATTCCAAGTTGAAGCGTTGCTTCTCGCAAGTTGAACTTGCTCAGCATTACTTCGTCTCGTGTTTACACTGTCGTCATGGCGCAATGAGCCCTCAAATACGCATTGCGACGCCATTCGCTTTTCTATAGGACCGACGCTGGAGATAGGGTCTGGGTGCGGCCACGAATTCACTGCAAAATCCGTGTCATGGCCAACAATTCGATCTCCGCGGCGATGCGGACAGGCCATTCCGTACCGCCCGTCACTCCGTCTCACCGCTCAATCCATTCCGCTCAACCCCGTCACGCGCTTAGTGGCGTGAATTCTCGCCGTGACTCCTCAACAGGACACGGGGTCCCGCGTGTCACGCGTATGGTCTCCTCTGCCAGCTGTCACTTTCCCATTGGCGAGTCTGCTTTTGGCGGCACTGCGTCGATAGCACTAGGGAAGCGCCGTGAAGTAGGCTGCTGTTTGCGTTTTAGAGTGCTCCGGTACAACACTGCTCCGATATTAATAAGCTTACCAAACGATTCGCTCTTCATCAAGCGACGAGGTTATTTGTCTGCAGGAGGGCCAGTAAATAGCAGCAGAGGGCGTAGCCTTACCTGTTCCATAGCGGCCAAGTTCGACGCTTTTAACGAAGACGAAAATGCCACAAGCGGGGATAGTCCATTATCGTCAGCTCCATTACCATCATCATTACAGTCATCTCCTGATTGGTCAACAGGTGCCGATTCGGGTCTAGATGACGTGTCGCCGGCATGCCCAGTTCCGGATTTCACGGCTCTGGGCGGCGAAATTTGCCTTTTTCGGCCTCAGGAGCAGTCCGGGTACCCGACAGGTGCGGCTTCTGGGCGGCCGCTTTTGGTGTATCTGCCGGGAATGGACGGCACTGGGCAGTGCCTGCAGCCTCAGATCCGATCGCTCACACGTGCCGGGTGTGTGGAGGATGCAGTATGTTGGGGTTGGTGTGTCAAAATGTGCCAAGTGTGTGTGCTGGCTTGTATGGTTGGGTTTGCCCTCATCAGGGGGGTATTCATAATGTGTGTGCATGATGGGTATCCATGATGAGTATGCATGATGGGTATGATGGGTATGCATGATGGGTACGCATGATGGATATGATGGGTATGCATGATGGGTACGCATAATGGGTATACATGATGGGCATGCTTGATGGGTATGCATGATGGGTATGCATGATGGGTATGCATGATGGGTATGCATGGTATGCATGATGGGTATGCATGATGGGTATGCATGATAGGTATGCATGATGGGTATGCATGATGGGTATGCATGATGGGTATGCATGATGGGTATGCATGATGGGTATGCATGATGGGTATGCATGATGGGTATGCATGATGGGTATGCATGATGGGTATGCATGATGGGTATGCATGATGGGTATGCATGATGGGTATGCATGATGGGTATGCATGATAGGTTACCACTCACCACTTCATTTCCCTGGTTCACTCGCCCTCTCTCTCTCCGTCTCCCATACTCTCTCAACAAACCTCCCCCCACCCTACCACCCCGCCTTCCCCCCCCACCCTATCACTCCGCCTTCCCCCCCCACCCTACCACCCCGCCTTCCCCCCCCACCCTACCATCCCGCCTTCCCCCCCCACCGTCACCGTTCCCCATCTCCAGCTTCTTCCCTTCCCCCTGTTTCCCCCACCACCAACTGCGCCTCATGGTGACTGGAAGCATGTATCGGCTACTCTCGTTCGTTCATCCCTCTGTCCCTCTGCTTTCCCTCTCCCTTTCCCTTTCCCCGGCCCCCTCCACCTTTGGCATCCGTTCCCTCTACACCTCTGCATCCCCCACCACTGGCCCGCTCAGGACTTTCCGCTATGCCCCCCCCCTCCCTACCACTCTCCCTCTCCCTCTCTACCCGTCCCCCCGCTCACCTTTGACATCCGCGCCCGCTACATCCCCACTACCATCCACATGGCCTCTAATAAAACTCTCGAAGCTCCCTTGCCGCCCCTCTCATCCCCCTCCTTTCCAGCTTTGACATCCGCTCCCTCTACACCCCCTCCACTGACCGCTCCACGTGGCAATGGTTCAGACACCCACCTCCCTCCCCCCTCCCACCTCCCCTCTCGTCCCCCTCCCACCTCCCCTCTCGTCCCCCCTCCCCTTTAACCCCCCTACCCCTTCCCCTCCCCCTCCCTTTAACCCCCCTACCCCTCCCCCCTACCCCTTCCCCCTACCCCCTTCCCCCCTCCCCCTTCCCCTCCCCCTTCCCCCTCCCCCTTCCCCCTCCCCCTTCCCCTCCCCCTTCCCCTCCCCCTTCCCCCCCCTTCCCCTCCCCCTTCCCCCTCCCCCTTCCCCCTCCCCTTCCCCCCCCCTTCCCCCTCCCCCGTTCCCTCCTTCCAGCTTTGACATCCGCTCCCTCTACATCCCCACCACTGACCGCTCCACGTGGCGAGAGCTGGTTCGCCGAGTCACCCCACTGATACAGCAGGCTGCGAGCGAAGGCGGGGAGGGGACTCGGGAAGTGACAGTGCTGGCGGAATCATTCGGGGCGTGTCTGGCTCTGCGCATTGCAGCAGCCAACCCCACCCTCTTCCACCGCCTCGTGCTGGTAAGATGGATAACGCAGCGGGTAAGGAGAGGGCGGGGAGGGGAAGGGGGTACACGCCCCTTTTGCTGTCTGTGTGTATTGGTACGCGCCCCTTGTGCTGTCTGTGTAATACCCACACGGGGTAATCCTCCTTCCTTACATTGGGCTTACTTCTGCCATGCTTTGCTTTCTCACATGGCTCCCATTCACCCTGAGCCTTTTTCTTGCCTTGTCACCACCACCATTACCACCACAATCAGATCAACCCAGCTACAGCCTTCCCCAGCAACAACCCTCTCGTGAGCCTCTGTGTGGCCACCGGCCTCCTCGCCATCTTCCCACCGCCCCTCTACGAGTTCGCTCAGGTCAGATCCACTTTCCTTCCGTTTGCTTTCCCTCAGATTGCTTTCCCTCAGATTGCTTTCCCTCAGATTACTTTCCTCACTCGTTTCCTCACTCGTTTCCTCACTCGTTTTCTCACTCGTTTCCTCACTCGTTTCCTCACTCGTTTCCTCACTCGTTTCCTCACTCGTTTTCTCACTCGTTTCCTCACTCGTTTCCTCACTCGTTTTCTCACTCGTTTCCTCACTCGTTTCCTCACTCGTTTCTCACTGGTTCTCTCACTCGTTTCCTCACTCGTTTTCCTCACTCGTTTCCTCACTCGTTTCCTCACTCGTTTTCTCACTCGTTTCCTCACTCGTTTCCTCACTCGTTTCCTCACTCGTTTCCTCACTCGTTTTCTCACTCGTTTCCTCACTCGTTTCCTCACTCGTTTCCTCACTCGTTTCCTCACTCGTTTTCTCACTCGTTTCCTCACTCGTTTCCTCACTCGTTTTCTCACTCGTTTCCTCACTCGTTTCCTCACTCGTTTCTCACTGGTTCTCTCACTCGTTTCCTCACTCGTTTCCTCACTCGTTTCCTCACTCGTTTCCTCACTCGTTTTCTCACTCGTTTCCTCACTCGTTTCCTCACTCGTTTCCTCACTCGTTTCCTCACTCGTTTTCTCACTCGTTTCCTCACTCGTTTCCTCACTCGTTTTCTCACTCGTTTCCTCACTCGTTTCCTCACTCGTTTCTCACTGGTTCTCTCACTCGTTTCCTCACTCGTTTCCTCACTCGTTTCCTCACTTGTTCCTCGCACTCCGCTGTGCTGGTTTTGTTTTCTCCCCACCTCTTCCTCCTCCCTCCACAGGCACACTTCCGAGTGGACTCAAGAGTCGCGTCTTGCTTTCCTCACACTTGCTGCTGGGATAAGCCTTCTCTCTCCACTTCTTCCTCCCCCCTCCACTGGCACACGGCTGAGTGTACTCGAGAGTCACTTTGTGCTTCCCTCACTCACACTCAGTCTGACCCTTTCACCCCACATTACCTCCATCCCCTCCATCCCAGGACGTGGCCCTGCTGCTGCTGGTGAGGAGCAGTTGAGTGCAACACTTCAGCAGTCAATTCACCCGACGGGGTTTCGTATCAGTCTGGCCCTTTCACCCCGTCTTACCTGCCTTCCCTCCATCCCAGGACGTGGCCCTGCCACTGCTGGTGACACGCAGTTGAGCGCAACCCCCTGCAGCTGTCAATTCACCCCACGGGCTCTCGCATCAGTCTGGCCCTTTCACCCCGCCATATCAGCCTGTCATCCCGTCTTACCACCATCCCCTCCATCCCAGGACGTGGCCCTGCCGCTGCTGGTGAAGCGCAGCAGAGTGCAACACTTCAGCAGTCAATTCACCCCACGGGGTTTCATATCAGTCTGGCCCTTTCACCCCACCTTACCTCCATCCCCTCCATCCCAGGACGTGGCCCTGCCGCTGCTGGTGAAGCGCAGCAGAGTGCAACCGCCTGCAGCAGCAGCCAGCTCAGCAGCAGCAGGCGGGGGAGGGGGGAGCAAAGGAGGAGGGGGAGGAGCGTTGTCACTGCGGGTGCTGTCGCCGATAGACTATGTGCCAGCTGCATGTGCGTCGTGGCGGCTGTCCCTCCTCAACGACCAGTCTGGGCTGTCCGATGGGGTGCTCAAGTCAATTCACACGCCCACTCTGCTGGTAGGACGCCTTGTAGACATGAGCAAAATAAATCGCATCGCATCGCAATAGATCGCGTCTTTACAATTGAGGTTTTTTCTTTCTTTCTTTCTTTCTTTTTTTGGGAAAATCGCGTGATCCGATTTTCAGTTTATAGCGCGATTTTTTTTTTAATCGATTTTAACCGCGCGTAAAAAAATGTGATTTAAACGCGGTATGCGATTTTTATTTAATCGCGCGATGTCGAAGTACATCGCACCGCGAATTCTCGCCAGGGGGAAAAAACGCAAAACCAAAAATCTGGCCCCCATACCACGGGGGCTTGCCCCTGTGTGAAACCCATTTTCTTATCATACAATTTATTTACCCTGAACCTTGTATCTGCCGGTGCTTTAATGTGCAGGGAACCCCCCCTTTTTTTCCTGGACAGGAAAGCGATGCGATTAAATATCGCATCGCGCTTTTTTTTTTTATCATCGCATGCTATTTTAAATCTAAATCAACCTCAAAACGCGATGTGAGATTTACAGTTTCTAAAAATCTAGATCGCGCGATGCGATTTTGAATCCCATCATTTTCTTGTGTTCTTTTTTCTTAACCACCCCCCTTCGCGATGCGATTTAAATCACAATCGTGTTTTGCTCATGTCTAACGCCTTGCCTCATGCTGCGAGACCAGTCGCAGCTGTCTGATTGTGTTTAGACTTCGGTTGCTGTGCCCATTCTACTGGTAGAACGCGCTGTCAGGAAATTGCTTGATGGCGTTGAGCCATTTGCTTGGTTATTGTTCCGGTGGGGCGCCCTTTGAGAGTCACAATGGGCTCTCCTCTCCCTGCTCATGACCTGTCAGGACTGTGTTCGCCGCGCTGCGATCCGCTCACACGCTCCTCCTGCTCTTGCTGCGTGCAATCTCTCCGCGCCTGTCTGTCCAACTGCCTCTATGCCCTCCTCACCCTTCCAGATGGCTTCATCTAAGGACAGAGCTTTGCCAGCAGTGCTTGAGGCAAGCAGACTGCTATTGCTGCTTTCTATCCCTCTATGCCCGTGTTTCCACTGCCTCCATGCCTGCCTTTCCAATTCCCCCTTCCCTCTCTCACCCGTCCAGATCGCCTCATCCAAGGACAGAGTTTTGCCAGCGGTGCCAGAGACAGGCAGACTGCTAGCGCTGCTGCCCAACAGCAAGCGAGTCATCCTTCCCTCCAGGTATCGAGTTTTCCGTGCTCCTCCTTTCCTCACTATCTATTTCTTTCGCCTCGTCTCATTCCATCTATACTGTTCTCCTGCTTTTTATCATGTATTTTCTGCCTCGATCTCATTGTTGTAGTTGCAGCTGTGTCATACACGTTACACTTTATTACTTCATAACACTGTTCTAATTTTTCTATTTTTGTAACACGTTTCCCACTTGCCCTCGCTTCCCCCAGTGGCCACACGGTTCTACTAGAAGCTGACGTGGACATTGCTGCCATCATTCAGACGCACGGCTTTGCTCCGACCAATCCCGTGCCGCCACTCGGGCGCGTGGCGCCTTCAAACGTGTTTGATTCACAGGGCTATGTGGCAGCAGACGGAACATCGGCAGCATCGGCAGCAAACGTGTTTGATTCACAGGGCTATGTGGCAGCATCGGCAGCAGGAGCAGCATCAGCCAGAGAAGAAACACGTTTGCAAACTGGGAAAGGGGAGGTTCTGACAGCAGCAGCAGCAGCAGCAGCAGCAGCAGCAGCAAGAGCAGCAGCAGCAAGAGCAGCAGCAGCAAGAGCAGGTGCCGCGCCTTCCCCAGCGAGTGGAGGGGGAACGGAATCTGAAGGGGAGGCACCAGGGCGAGGGCTGGATGAGGCGGCTCATTGGAGAGAGAGAGGCGGGGAGAGGAGGAGGAGAAGGAGGAGAAAGGGTCGTAAAGAGTTTAAGGGGAGAGAGTTGGAGAAGTTGTATGAAGACATTGGGCGAAGCCTGGATCTGTGGAGGGTAGGTTTATTGAGGAACAGGCAGGAATAAGGGAAACTGTGTTTATACACCTTCCAGAGCACAGCACACCTTCCTCCTCCAAATCACAGCACACACCTTCCAGTCCAGCGCACACCTCATACTTGTGATCGTGAAGCTCTTTCAACAAATACCTGCTCCTTTGCTTCTCACGTTCCTTCTCTTGCTCCCTTCCTCCTGCTCCAGACGCTGGTGTCTCCGCTGGTAGTGGGGGAGGGCAACCTGCAGCGAGTGCAGCGAGAGGTGAGAGGGGTGGGCGGGACGAGAGGGATGGAAGCGGTGGTGGTGAGAGGGATCAGAGGAGTGGAAGGGATGGGAGAAGGGTTGAGAGGGATGGGAGAAGGGGTGAGAGGGGTGAGAGGGATGGGAGAAGGGTTGAGAGGGATGGGACGGGTGGTGAGAGGTGTGGGAGAGGGAGTGAGGGGCTAGCAGTGGTGTCTCTGCTTGTAGTGGTTGAGGCCAAAGAGAGGTGGGAGGGGTGGTGAGAGGTGGGATGTGGTGGTGCAGTGTTCCCGCTGCGAGTGGGGAAGGGCACTCTGCAGCGAGAAGTGAAAGGGGTGTGAGGGGTGAGAAATGTGAGCGCGGTGGAAGGTGTGAGGGGTGAGAAATGTGAGCGCGGTGGAAGGTGTGAGGGGTGTGTGTATAAGCACGTACGTAGTGCCGTACTGGCGTGTGGATATAAAGCGTGTGTGTATAAGCACGTACGTAGTGCCGTACGGGCGTGTGGATATAAAGCGTGTGTGTATAAGCACGTACGTAGTGCCGTATGAAAGAACTAGCTTGGAAGAGAAAAGTTGAATTGAGTAGGGAGCCGAGAGGCTCTTTTTGTACAAAACAAGGAGCAAGGAAGAGTTGGAAGGGAAGCTCTCCTATTGGCCATAAAGTGGGCCAATGGGGGAGGTTGCTTGTAGGGCAAGCAACCACAAAAGTGTGGTGCTCTCCTATTGGTCACAATGTGGACCAATGAGAGAGATTGCTTGGAAGGCAAGCAACCACAAAGTGTGGTGCTTGGTGATTGGTTGGTTCCTAGGACCAAAGACCATTTGGTTGGAATAGTGCCAACCAAATGTCTAGGACCAAATCCAATCTTGACCAACCCAAATGTGGGGTTGGTCAACCCAACCAACAACCCCCCAATAATTATAATGACTACACCTCCTAATCTAGGCATGCATGTTGTATAGATATATATTTTACAACACAACCCCCAACATGCATAAGACTAGAGGGCTTGAATCAGGAGCGGACGAGGGAACGGGGGGAGCGAGGCCAAGAAGGCGAAGGAGGGATGAGTGGGCGGCGTGGGGGAGGGCTTTGGTGAAGATGTCGGCAAGATTGGCAGCAGAGTCAATCTTGCCCCAGCTGGAGGTGGCCACCCTGCACAAGCTCGCGAATGAAGTAGTGGCGAAGCTCAATGTGCTTGGAGCGCCCGTGGAACACAGCATCCTTCGTGAGGTGGATGGTGCTGGCGTTGTCGCACCAGATGGTGGGACAGCGCTGAGGGGCACCAAGCTCCTCAAGAAGGAAGGAGAGCCAGCGGGCCTCTTGCGCAGCCATGGTAGCGGCATACAGCTCTGCTTCGCAGGAGGAGAGGGCAATGGAGGAGGAGCGGGTGGAGCGCCAGCTGATGAGGCCGCTGCCAAGAGAGAAGCCATAGCCCTGAGAGGAGCGGCGGTCAGGCCTAGAGTCAGCCCAGGAGGAATCAGAGTAGCCAGTGAGGAGGGGAGGGGAGGGGCCGCCAAGGGTAAGGACGTAGTCCTTGGTCCCCCGAAGGTAGCGGAGGACACGCTTGGCCGCTTGCCAGTGGGCGGCATCATGCTTGCCGGTACCAACGAAGCGGGCCAAAACGCTGATGGGGTATGCTAGGTCAGGGCGGGTGGAGACCATGGCATACATGAGAGAGCCGATGAGCTCAGCGTAGGGGTGGGAGGAGGAGGAGGGGGAGGTGAGGGGAGTGAGATGGTGCCCAACAGGAAGAGGGGTGACCTGAGGGGTGCCTCGAGCCATGTCGAACCGCTCCAGGACCTGCTGCAGGTAGTGGCCCTGGGAGAGGGAGATGGTGCGAGCAGTACGGTCGCGGGTAATCTCCATGCCGAGATAGTGCTGGCAGCCCCCTAGATCCTTACACTTGAGCCGGCTGCCAAGCTCACGCTTGACGCGCTCGAGCTCGGCGGAGTCGGCAGTGATGAGGATCATATCGTCGACATAGACGAGGATGTAGAAGGGGGAGGGGGAGGTACGGAGGAAGAGGCTGGGGTCGGCACGGGAGGTGCTGAAGCCAAGCTCGGCGAGGGTGGCAGCAAGCTTGGCATGCCATTCCTTGGTGCCTGCTTGAGCCCATAGACCGGCCGACGCAGCTGCCAGACAGAGTCGGAAGGAAAGGGGAGGTGGAAGCCTGCAGGACGCTCCATGTAAATGAGCTCGCGCAAGACCCCCTGGAGGAAGGCGTTGGAGACGTCCATGGAGTGAATCTCCATGTTGAGGCGAGCAGCGAGGTCGAGGACTGCGCGAATGGTAGCGGGCTTGGCGGTGGGAGAGAAGGTGTCGAAGAAGTCGACAGCGTAGCGCTGGGTGAAGCCCTTGGCGACGTAGCGGCCTTGTAGACCGGCGGCTCGCCAGGAAGCTGCTTCACCCGAAACACCCACTTCCTTTGGACTACGTTCGTGGTAGAGGGAGGGCGGGGCACATCCACAAAGGAGGAGTTGGCAATAAACGCCTCCAACTCCTTGAGGATGGCCGCGAGCCAGAGGTGAGCGTCAGGGCACGCCATGGCCTCCTCATACGTGGCGGGACGAAGATGGTGGGGGCGGAGGAGAAGGCGAAGACTGGTGTGCCGCTGAGGTCAGGGGAGATGGGTAGGACGGCTGGATCATGCATGTGGAGGTTGAGGAACTCCTCATGGGAGTCCTCGAGGAGGGAGGAGTGGAAAATGAATGGGAGGACTGCTGCTGCTGCTGCTGCTGAGGATGCATCTGCTGCTGCTGCTGCTGAGGCGGCTGCTACTGCTGCGTCTGCTGCCGCCGCTGCTGCTGCTGCGGGTGAAGGCGAGGAAGAAGTGACGGCTGCTGCTGCTGGTGCTGCTGCGGTGGGTGGAACTGCTGCTGCAGCTGTTGCTGCTGCTGTTGGGACTGCTGTACTGGAGCTCGACGGCAGGGTTGGGCTAGTGTTTTGTTGTAAGACTGTCTGAAAAAGGAGGTCCATGAGAGGGGAGAGAGGAGGCAAGGTAGAGGAAGAGAGGATAACAGGAGCGGGGCACCTAGGACTGCGTCACGCGACCTGGTGTGGGGATACCGGGTGAGGATGGAGCGGGTGGGACGCAGGGGGGAGGGGGTCGCGGGGGAGAGGGGGAGGAGGGGAGGGGGGAGGATGGGAGGGAGCGGAGGGGGAGGAGTGGGACGGGGAGGCGGGGGGGAAAAAAGGGTCAGGGTCAAATATGTCACCAGAGGAGGGGGAGCACTAGGGGCCGAGGCGGCGGGGAATGGAGGAGGCGGAGCGGGGGGGAGGATGGGAGGGGGAGGGAGAAGAGGGGGTGGGATAGTGTCGGACCAGTTGAGGGGTCTGGGAGAAGGGGCGAGAGGGTCAGTGGGGGGAGGAGTGGAATAGTAGGGTGTGGACTCATCAAAGACTGCATCCCGACTGCGGAGGAAACGACCTGAGGGGGGGTGAAGGAAGAGGTAGTCCGGTGAGGAGGGATTATGACCAAGGAAGATGCAGGGGAGGGTACGGGAGGCGAGCTTTCCCATGGTGCGGGGGCGGTCCGCAGGGTGAATGAGGACATACGCCCTGGAGCCCCACACACGGAGGGAGGAGACGTCAGGCTTGGCCGACGTCCAGAGCTCGGTGGGAGTGGTGGAGGGAAGGATAGGGTGGGGGTACAGGTTAGTAAGGAGGGTGGCGTGAAGGAGGGCATAGCCCCACAGAGAAGGGGGGCAAGAGGCATGGACGAGGAGACACCGAGCAATCTTGGTGATCTCCCGAACACGGCTCTCGGCCACACCGTTCTGCTGGGGGGAGTGGGGGAGGGTGTGAGTCTGGCGAATGCCATGAAGCTCACAGTAGGAGGCTACCTGACGATTAAGGAATTCGCCACCGCCATCAGAGTGAAGGCGGCGCACAGGGCGGCCAAAGTGGGTGCTCGCCTGCTTGAGCCAGGCGATGATCGCAGTCGGAGCGTCACCCTTCGAGCGAAGAAGGGAGACGGAAGAATATCGGCTGTGATCATCGACCAGAACAAGCATGTAGCGATGACCCTGGCGGGAAGGGGAGGGGTTGGGGCCCCAGAGGTCCATGTGAACAAGATCAAGCGGCTGAGCAGCAGCGGAGGGGGAACTCCGATGCGGCAGCTGCTTGAGCTTGCTCTGGACACAGACGGAGCAGGGAGGGGCAAGGGAGGGAGGGAGGGGAGGGAGGGTGAGGGGAAGACCTCGAAGGAGACCTGAGGAGACGGTCGAGCGGAGGGTGGCAAAGTTGGGGTGACCAAGCCTGTGGTGGAGGAGGACGGTGGGATGGGAGAGGGATCGACAGGAGCAGGTTGGGTCAGGGGGGGGGGGGGGAATGGTTGGGTTAGAAGGAGGGAGAGGAGGGGGGGAGATGTGAGGTGGGAGGAGGGAGCGGGAGACTGCCTGGGCAGAGGGAAGACGAGGAACTCGAAGGGTATATAGGCGGGAGCGAGGACAAAAGGGAATACGGGAGAGGAGGCGACCTGTGGGATGGTATAGGAGGCAGTGATTAGCGCGACCTGGGAAGACGGTGGTGATACCGGCCTGCTGCAGGGATCGCTGGGAGAGGAGGTTAGTACGGAGGGAGGGGATGTGTAAACCAGTGACGGTACCTGAGGGGAAGAGGGGACAGGGGAGGGTAGAGGTGTGGCGACAGGGAATAGAGAAGCTGGAATCGGCACCAAGGAGGGAGGTGGGGGCTGGGAGAGGGTGAAGGGTACCAGCATCACGAAGGACGGACTCGGTGGCTCCACTGTCAAGGACAAAGTCCAGCGTGGTGGAGGGGGGAGGATGTGGGGGAGGAGGTGGGACGGAGTACTGAATCACATTCTCATTAATAGCAGCCGAATACATGGAAGGGGCGGGGGTTCCAGCCTGACTAACCATGCCAACAAAACCAGAGGAGGGGAAGGGAGTCACACTGCCTGTGGCTGAGGGCGCGGGAGACGCGCCCGAGAGGTGAGCTGCGGAAGCGGCGGTGCCGGCTGTCCAAGCGGGGTAGGGCTGCTGGGGGGGAGCCATAGGAGGAGGTGCAAGGGGGAGCTGCGACTGGAGGTCAAGCTGTTGCTGGAGCTGGTGGAGCTGCTGCTGCAACTGGGAGAAGAGGTGATGCTGCCCCTGCTGCTGCTGCTGCTGGAACTGCTGCTGCTGCTGCTGGAACTGCTGCTGCTGGAACTGCTGCTGCTGGAACTGCTGCTGCTGCTGCTGAAACGGCTGCGGCAGGATCTGCTGCGGTGTCTGCTGCTGCTGCTGTTGCTGAGAGATGGCCTGGTGGGCCAAGGGGGAGGAGACGGGCTGAAAAAGAGGGGAGGTACGAACCTCCTGAGGAGTGGGGCGAGGGGAGAGGGAGGACCAGCGGGGGGGGTGCCGGTGTTGCCGCGGGCAAACCACTCATCACTGAGCGCTTTGAAGCAAGAATCAGTGGCATGAGTGGTCTGGCCGCAGCGCTGACCCCGCGTGGGGCCATAGCGAGGGAGATACTGGCAAGGAGGAAAGGGGGCTGCTGCACCACGTCCTGCGCCATTGGTACCACGACCCGCGCCACCACCACGACCAGCGCCACGCCCTCCCCCACGCCCTCCCCTGGTGTTGCGCTGCTGAGCAACAGCGGCAGTGGAGGAGGAATGGCGCAGGAGGTCGGCCTCGGTGGTGATAATCCACTGGGCGACTTCAGCCGGGGTGATGCGCTTGTCGATCAGCTGCATGTAGGCGATCTTATGGGTGTCGAAGGCAGAAGTCAAGCCTTCAAGGAGGTGGCAGCAGAGCACAGGGTCCGGGTACGATACGCCAAGAGCCGCCAGGCGCCGAGCGAGGTCGAGGACGCGACGCGTGAAGGCAGCTGCGCCGGTGGTAGAGTCCATGGTGAGGCTCTGGAACTCCTTGATGAGGGAGTAGAGGGTGGCGACGTCCTGCCGATCATAGAGATCGGTGAGGAGCCGCCAGAGGTGGGAGGAGGAGGTGGGAGCAAGCTCGCGCTTGAGGGTGGGAGGAATGGTGGCGAGGAGGATGGTGAGCGCGCGCCGGTCAGCGACACGCCAGGCAGCGAGGTCGGTGATGTATGCGCGCTCGCGACTGACGTATTCCGCGAGCGCCGCCTGATACGTGTTGTAGGCGGCAGTGGCGGCGTCATGCTCGGCGCGGGAAGCCTCGAAGAGCAGCTGCTGGCGGACGTGGTCGGTGAGGCCGGCACGGTAGGTGCGGATGGCGGTCTCGGAGCTCTGAGGGTCGTTGACGTCAGGGGCGAAGGTTGGAGGATCGCCGGGGCTGACGGGAGGATCGCCAGGAGGAGGAGGTGCAGGGCCCGCGGGTGCATCCGGCTGGGCAGGCTGAAGACCGCGCTCCTCGAGATGGACAACGGCTTTCAGGTTGTAGCCGTTGACCGTCACCGAGGAGAGAAGCACCGTGACGGTTTGGGCATAGGAATGCCAATTGACCGCGGTGTTGTCGGGCAGCAGCTCAAGAGCGTCGACGGAGGTAAAGTCCACGGAGGAATCGGACGCCATTGAGGAGGAGGGGAAGGAAGGGGGGGGGGGGGGGGGAGGAGGAGGAAAAGGAAAGGAGGAGGAAAAAGGAAAGGAGGAGGAAAAGGAAAAGGAGGAGGAAAAGAGAAAGGAGGAGGAAAAGGGAAAGGAGGAGGAGAAGGATAGGTGCGCGGAGCGCAGCTCTTAAGTCGCCGAAGGCGACTTAAACGAGCTGCGCGACGCGCTCCAAGGAGGATGCGGCGACCGGCTGCACGTCGAAACGGCGCGACGAACGGGAGCACGCGACGGCAGAATCGACGACGGGCGGGCGCACGCGGCGGAGAAATCGACCGACGACCGCGCGCGCGCGGCGGCAGAAAGGCGACGGGCGCGCTGAGAGGATTTGTCGACGGGCGTCCACGGGAGCCGTGACGCACGGGCGCGCGGAGAGCGTGATGGACTGGTGTGCGCAAACGCGGAGGGCGCGCGACGGGAGGGCGCGACGGGAGGGCGCGACGACGGACCGCACGACGGAGGAGCGCACCAACGGGCGCAGTAGGAGGATGCGACGGCCGGAAGCGCGTCGTCAGGCGCGACGGGAGGCGCACGACGGAAGGGAGAGCGGGCGCGGCAAAAAGGCGCGCGACGGGAGAAAGAGCGGGCGCGACGGAGTAGCGCGGCGAGAAAGGGCGCACGGGGGGCGCGGGAAGTAGCCTAAGGAAGGGCTAGACTTCGAAGATGAGGAGGGACAGCATAGGGCCGTGCTAGTTAGGATCGAATCGAGGTGGCGTGAGCCATTGTGGCTCTGAATACCATGAAAGAACTAGCTTGGAAGAGAAAAGTTGAATTGAGTAGGGAGCCGAGAGGCTCTTTTTGTACAAAACAAGGAGCAAGGAAGAGTTGGAAGGGAAGCTCTCCTATTGGCCATAAAGTGGGCCAATGGGGGAGGTTGCTTGTAGGGCAAGCAACCACAAAAGTGTGGTGCTCTCCTATTGGTCACAATGTGGACCAATGAGAGAGATTGCTTGGAAGGCAAGCAACCACAAAGTGTGGTGCTTGGTGATTGGTTGGTTCCTAGGACCAAAGACCATTTGGTTGGAATAGTGCCAACCAAATGTCTAGGACCAAATCCAATCTTGACCAACCCAAATGTGGGGTTGGTCAACCCAACCAACAACCCCCCAATAATTATAATGACTACACCTCCTAATCTAGGCATGCATGTTGTATAGATATATATTTTACAACACCGTACGGGCGTGTGGATATAAAGCGTGTGTGTATAAGCACGTACGTAGTGCCGTACGGCTGTTAATTCTAGTTTCGTAGTGGGTATAGCTAAGATTGGGGATGGAGTGAGTGCAGAGAGGGATGAGCGTGTGTTAACTTGGTAGTGTCGTTTGGGTCGTTGCCCCAATTGCAGTGTGTGGTTGTTGAGAGTCCCACCATCGTTTGAGTGTGTGCCTCGTTTCACCCCTTTTTCCCCTCATCTCTCTCTGACCCCGTTCTCATGTCAGCTCGCCCGTCAACCTGATCGCAGTGTGCTGTTTGTGGGTAATCATACCATCTATGGCTTTTACGACACCCCACTGCTGCTCTACGAGGTAGCATGTCTCTTCTGGCTGTCTCCTCCCCCCTTTCACGCTTTCACCATAACCAACCCTAGTTGTACTTGAAACCGGTAAAATCCAAGAAATACACTATCTTACGTGTCAGCCTTCAACTGTCGCGGTTGCGGTCTTAGTTGGCCCCTCAATGTCCCTTTTCCCTTCTGAGTCCCCTCCATCACTCAAAATTCCGCTCTTGCTGGACATGCGTGGTTCCAAGTGATGCGGTTATTTTGTTTTTGGATCTGCTACCCCGCTCCGCCGCATTTTTCCCATTGATGCGCAATACATGTGTGGTTTCAAGGCCTGTGGTTTGCACATCCCAGCCATTGAACCACTGTCTGCTAAAAGTTCTCTACCCACCTTCCCCATCACCCGTGCCCAACCCCTCACATCCTCCCTCTATCTCCAGCTTTCCATGCGTGGCACTTAGTGTCGCTTCCTGGCCTACTTAGTGGCCTCCCAACCCCCTCCACGTCAACCCGCTCCAAACCTGCTCTCCCCCCCTCAGCTCTACATGCGTGGATTCAAGTGCCGCTGCCTCGCGCATCCCAGCTTCCGTCTGCTGCCTTGCCCCACCCCAACCAATCCCTCCACCACCTCGTTCACCCTTCCCCACTCTACCTTCCCTACAACCCCCCCCCCCCCTCTCTCCTCAGCTCTGCTCGTGTGGCTTCAAATGCCGCCTTCTCGTGCATTGACTCACCACCCCTCAACACTCTCTCCTTCCACCCGCCTCTGCCTTCTACTTCCCCCTCACCCCTGCTCGCCTCTCCCCACATCAGCTGTACATGCGAGGACTCAAGTGTCGCTGCCTCGCGCACTGACTCCATCCACCCTCATACGCCAGATCTAACCCATCTGTCTATATTCACCCACCCCCTCGCGCCCTCCCCTCTCAGCTGTACATGCGAGGGTTCAAATGTCGCTGCCTTGCGCATCCCAGCTTCTGGCTGCAGCAGTCTCTAGGAGAGCTCTTGGAAAGGTGGGTTCAAGTGGTGGCTCAGGTGGTGGGCTCAGGTGGTGGGTCAGGTGGTGGGTCAGGTGGTTGGTCAGGTGGTGGGTCAGGTGGTGGGTCAGGTGGTGGGTCAGGTGGTGGGTCAGGTGGTTTACAGAGGTGCAAACGTCAACTTCTTCCGTCTGCAGCCGTCTGTGGAGTGCCGGGCTTAGGTGGAGTGATGGTGTCAGATGGTGGAGTGTTGGGGTCAGGTGGTGGGTATCTCAGATCCAGCCGTCTGTAGAACTTCTATTGGAGAGGTGGGAAATCAGGTGGTGCATCAGGTGGTGCATCAGGTGGTGGGTCAGGGTGCTGCTGCCGGCCGCAGCCAGCCTGCTTGACAGGTGCTCTCAGGTGTTGGGAGATAGGAAAGGGGCTTATGGATGGGAGTAGGAAATAGCTGTATTGAGAGGTGAGGCGAGGTGAGGTCAGCATGGGCAGTTCACGCGCCTGCTCTCAGTATTCTGCATGCATCCCATGTCCTCCCCCCCGCATCCCCTACCCACCAACTGTCCCATCACCCTTGCAGCTTCGGCCATGTCAAGCCTTCACCTCGTGCTCTTTATAACCTTCTCAAAGTGAGTCAATACTCTGTACAACCTTCTCAAAGTGAGACAATACTCTCTATAACCTATTCAAAGTGAGTCAATACTCTGTATAACCTTCTCAAAGTGAGTCAATACTCTCTATAACCTTCTCAAGTGAGTCAATACTCTTTATAATCTTCTCAAAGTGAGTCAATACACTTTACAACCGTCTCAGAACGAGTAAATCCTCTTTGGTCGCATTCGTACGTTTGACCGACGAACGAAGTTTGCCCGTGCGACTCGAAGCGTGGGAAATTGACATTGCAATGTTTGCCCACGCGCCTCGGAGATGTACCAAACTGCAAAGACCTCTTGGGCAAAGTGCGACGTGGGCCCACGACCTCCTGCGACCATTGCCGCCGTCAGGTGTTGGGGTGAATGCATTGGTTTTCGAGTGCGTTGTTCTTTCTTTTGTAGATGGCTGGGTTGTTGCGGTGGTTGTCTCTGGATAGATCACCAATGCAACTTTGGGAGTTCTGGTTTGCACCGCGACTGGAAAATGCAAAATTTCATGCACTTAGGTGGGAGTCTTCGCAGAGGTGGCCGTCAGGTTTGGTAGTCGCTGCGCGACCAAACCACCCCAACTTTGCAGGCGCCTGACGACTCGATCGCGCCTCCTGATTGGGCGCACGATTTTCCGTTCAATATTTGGAGGCAAGTGTTCGATTCTGACTTGTCGCAACTCACAGCCAGTCGCAGTGGTCCAAGTGGGGTACCACCCCACTTTTCCCACCAAAGCCTGACCAAATCGGATCGCATGGGCAAACTTCGTCGTCGGTCAAACGTACGAAAGCGATCTTTATAAGCTTCTCAAAGTGAGTCAATACTCTTTATAACCTTCTCAAGGTGAGTCAATACTCTTTATAAGCTTCTCACTCAAGCCTTTACAAGCTGCTCAAAGCACGTACCCCATTATGAGGGAGGGCCGGACTCAGTGCTTCCACCTCCGCAGTTCCCTTCCCCCCCGACTCTCCGCTCTTCTCCCCTCGTCTTTCTCCTTCCTGCACTTCCCCTTCCTCCAACTCTCCGATCTTCCCCTCTCATCTTACTCCTTCCCCTTTGCTTCCCATGATCATTTGACTTGTGATACCATCAGAAACGGCGGCCCGTGCAGGGCCTAGGCAAAGGCTCCTGCCACCTTCTGCCTGTCCCATCTTCCCCTCTGACTATCCTGCCCCTCTCTACCCCTTCATACCCCTCACCACCCGTCTTGTGACGCCACCAGGAGGGAGGGCCCAGGAGTTTCTAAAGAAGGCTTTATAGAGGAACTGCCCCTCTCCACCCCTTCATACCCCACACCACCCCTGTCTCGTGGCCCCACCAGGAGGGAGGGCCTGTGCTGGTGTTCCCAGGGGTCTCCAGAGAAGGCTCTAGAATAGGCCCCGCTTGCCCCTCTCCACCTCTTCATACCCCACACCGCCCCTGTCTCATGACCCCACCAGGAGGGAGGGCCCGTGCTGGTGTTCCCAGGAGGCTCCAGAGAAACATGCCGGCTAAAGGTGGGCGAAGGGGAAGGTAGCGCAGGGGAGGGGAGGGCGGGGCGGGGCGGGGCGGGGAGGGGAGGGGAGGGGAGGGGAGGTGAGGGGAGGGGAGGGGAGGGGAGGGGAGGGGAGGGGAGGGGAGGGTGGGAGAGGAGGGGAAGTGGGGAGGGGAGTGAAGGAGGGGAGAGGAGGGGAGGGAGGGGAGGGGCAGGGCGGGGCGGGGAGGGGAGGGTAGGGTGGGGAGGGGAGTTTGTCATGATGGCTGAGGTGGGGCCTGAGACAAGCATCCAGTAAACAGATACTCTTTGCTTGTTTTTCTTCTTTCTTTGAGCCACATCGTAGGGAGCCATGTCTGAGACGCCTCAAAGCACGCTGTATGCATCCTTCTTTTCCCCAGGCATGGTAGAGTGAGGCATGGTAGAGTGAGGCATCCGAGCTGCTGCGCCAGGCACGGGCATAGGTGGGGTGGGGGGCACAGAGGGGCGTACGAGTGGGGCACAGAGGGGCGTACGAGTGGGGCACAGAGGGGCGTACGAGTGGGGCACAGAGGGGCGTACGAGTGGGGCACAGAGGGGCGTACGAGTGGGGCACAGAGGGGCGTACTAGTGGGGCCAAAAGGATGCCAGCAGGAAGTGCCAACACTCAATATTCACAGTATGTGCATCCCTTTTTGGTTGTGCATCCCTTTTTGGTTATGCCTGCCAGGGTGAGAAGTATCAGCTGATGTGGGGGGCGGATGCGGGCAAGAGCAGCAGAAGCAGAAGAAGCAGTGATCGTAGAGAGGGGGCGTCGCAGCAGACTGTGCATGGGGACAGTGGACTCATTCGCATGGCAGCCAAGCTTGACACCATCATTGTGCCCTTCGCCATGGTCGGGGCTGACGATGCGTGAGTCTCGGACTCACGGAGTGTGCTCTCACCACCGTCTTTGTCTCTCCTCCATTTTTTAGCCGCCTCAAACATTCTCTCCTCCTTCTCTGTCTGCACTCCGGAGCACCATCATGGTGCCCCTCGCCATGGTCAGGGCTGACGTGGCGTGAGTCTCTCACTGAGGGGACTCCTCAGTCCTCTGTCCCCTCGTCTTCAGTCCTTGGCATCCGCAATGGCTGGCACCGCCGACGCATGAGTCTGATGCTCGTTGTTTCACCAGCAATCCCAGCAGTGACAGCAGTCACAACGTGTGGTGTGTGTGGGGAAGTCTGTGCGTGGGAACAACGGTGCCATTCACATGGCAGCCGCGCATTGCAACTTCCTTGTGCCATTCACAATGGTTGGCGTCGACAACATGCGAGTCTGGTGCATCAAGTTCGTCTCTCGTCCCACTTTGTTCTCTCTGCTCCTGGCCTCTTTCACCTGGCTTGTCACTTGTCCCCATCTTGTCTCCCCAAATGGGGTCATCGAACCCTGAATCCCAACACCTTAAACCTCAAATTTCAAAAAAACAAATGCCTCCTAGCTCTCCTCATCCCGTTTGCCATGGTTGGCGCCAAATGCCTCTGCGGTCTTCCCCCTTTGCCCAACCAGCGTTGACACATCCCCATACTCTCGTCCTGGCTCCATCCTTCTCCCTTCTCCCTTCTCCCTTCTCCCTGCTCCCCTCTCCCTGCTCCCCTCGTCCCAACCAGCTATGACATTGCCGCGGATCGCAGTGACATCCTCTCTTCCCCCATCGGCCCGCCCGTTCGCGGCTTATACGAGTCCCTTAACCTCAACCCGGCCACTGACGTCAGCCCCATGACTGTTCTCCCCGGCACCAGCCTCCCCAGGTGAGATGGGGCACCTCCCCAGGTGAGATGGGGCACCTCCCAAGGTGAGATGGGGCACCTCGCCAGGTGCTACCTGTGACTCGTATTCTTTGTTTGGTTCCTTCGCCCATCAGTCCCTAAACCTCAACTCGGCCACTGACATCAGCCCCATGACTGTTCTCCCGGCACCAACTTTCCCAGGTGAGATGGGTGTTGGGTGTCTTGCTCTTTTGGCTGGTCCTTCGACTTTTGAGGCGCCTCAAAACTTGAGTGTCTTTCTCTTTTGGCTGGTCCTTCGACTTTTGAGGCGCCTCAAAACTAGAGTGTCTTGCTCTTTTGGCTGGTCCTTCGTTCCAGTGCCCATCCTCATCCATCACCACTTCTCTGCCCTACCCACATGCTCTTCCATACCCCCCTTACCCTGTATGTACCCCATAACCCCCCTTACCCCGCCTTCCCCCTGCCCCTCTGTCCCGTACCAGCCTAATTCCCCTGCCGAGTCGTCTGGAGAGAGTGTACTTTTACTTCGGCACCCCCATTGATTTCAAGGAGCTGCCACCGTCGGCGATCAAGGTGTGACGGCACGATGCGTGTGCCAATACGTGCACGGATATGCATGGTTGAGTGCATTGGTAGATGGGGGGAGAGTGTATCATCACTTCGGCACCCCATGCTCGTGATGCTCATGATGCTCGTGGCATGCACATGGCGTCATGGATTGACGGGCATGGCACTCGTGAACATTCACGAAGGCATGGGAGCATGAATGTTCGTGGGAGCTCACATGGGCACATGGGTGCATGAACGTGCTGCCACCTTCAACTCGCCTCCAGCCCGCATGCCTCATTCCTTCACCCGAGCACCGTCATTCCTCTCACTCTCCATTCGCCCATGTGTCCTCAGCCTGCTCTGCTGCACCATCACGAACCGTGCCCATCCTGCCACACGCTCTGAAATGATTCCTGCCCCTCGAAGGCGTCGTTTTCGCTGTTCTCTTTTGGGCACCTGAAAATTATTGTGTTTCTCAGGCGCCTAAATCTAAGAAGAACTCTAGGGCATGTTCTGCATTGATTGTTGCCCTCTCAAAGGCTTCGCTTCCACCATTCTCTTGCTCTGCGCATGTTTCCATCCCCCTTGCTTGCCTTCCCTTTTCTTCCCTTTCTGTTTCCGATTCTTCTTGACTCTTGCCTGAACCATGGCATTCATGCTGCATCAACCCATGCACCATCAACCCATGCACCATCAACCCATGCACCATCAACCCATGCACCATCAACCCATGCAACATCAACCCATGCAACATCAACACATGCAACATCAACCCATGCACCATCAACCCATGCAACATCAACCCATGCAACATCAACCCATGCAACATCAACCCATGCAACATCAACCCATGCAACATCAACCCATGCAACATCAACCCATGCAACGTCAACCCATGCAACATCAACCCATGCAACATCAACCCATGCAACATCAACCCATGCAACATCAACCCATGCAACATCAACCCGTGCAACATCAACCCATGCAACATCAACCCATGCACCATCAACCCATGCAACATCAACCCATGCAACATCAACCCATGCAACATCAACCCATGCACCATCAACCCATGCAACATCAACCCATGCAACATCAACCCATGCAACATCAACCCATGCAACATCAACCCATGCAACATCAACCCATGCACCATCAACCCATGCAACATCAACCCATGCACCATCAACCCATGCACCATCAACCCATGCACCATCAACTCATGCACCATCAACCCATGCACAATCAACCCATGCAACATCAACCCATGCACCATCAACCCATGCACCATCAACCGATGCACCATCAACCCATGCAACATCAACCCATGCACCATCAACCCATGCAACATCAACCCATGCACCATCAACCCATGCACCATCAACCCATGCAACATCAACCCATGCAACATCAACCCATGCAACATCAACCCATGCAACATCAACCCATGCAACTCAACCCATGCAACATCAACCCATGCAACATCAACCCATGCAACATCAACCCATGCAACATCAACCCATGCAACATCAACCCGTGCAACATCAACCATGCAACATCAACCCATGCACCATCAACCCATGCAACATCAACCCATGCAACATCAACCCATGCAACATCAACCCATGCAACATCAACCCATGCAACATCAACCCATGCACCATCAACCCATGCAACATCAACCCATGCACCATCAACCCATGCACCATCAACCCATGCAACATCAACCCATGCACCATCAACCCATGCAACATCAACCCATGCACCATCAACCCATGCAACATCAACCCATGCACCATCAACCCATGCACCATCAACCCATGCAACATCAACCCATGCAACATCAACCCATGCAACATCAACCCATGCAACATCAACCCGTGCAACATCAACCCATGCACCATCAACCCATGCAACATCAACCCATGCACCATCAACCCATGCACCATCAACCCATGCAACATCAACCCATGCAACATCAACCCATGCAACATCAACCCATGCAACATCAACCCATGCAACATCAACCCATGCACCATCAACCCATGCAACATCAACCCACCATCAACCCATGCACCATCAACCCATGCACCATCAACTCATGCACCATCAACCCATGCACAATCAACCCATGCAACATCAACCCATGCACCATCAACCCATGCACCATCAACCCATCCACCATCAACCCATGCAACATCAACCCATGCAACATCAACCCATGCACCATCAACCCATGCACCATCAACCCATGCAACATCAACCCATGCACCATCAACCCATGCACCATCAACCCATGCACCATCAACCCATGCAACATCAACGCGTGCAACATCAACGCATGCAACATCAACCCATGCAACATCAACCCATGTACCATCAACCCATGCAACATCAACCCATGCAACATCAACCCATGCAACATCAACCCATGCAACATCAACCCATGCAACATCAACCCATGCAACATCAACCCATGCACCATCAACCCATGCAACATCAACCCATGCACCACCAACCCATGGTGCAACTGCATCAACCTGTGCAACATCGACCAACCATGCACTCTGCACCAATCCAACATCAGGACGGTATGCAAGCTGTTCTCCCTCACCACCACTTGAACTCCTCACTTGCACTCCCCACTTGCACTCCCCATTTGCACTTCGCACTTTCTCTCCCCACTTGCACTTCCCTCATTTGCCCTGCGCCCTGGTGTGCCTCCAACGCGTATTCCCTTTCTTTGGAAGCTGTTTGGTTCTGCGGGCACGTGCCATATGGATGTCCTCATCACGCATTCACATGTTGTGTTTTTATGTCTCTGCATGCTTGAGCTCATGCGTCTAAATATGTGCACATGTCTGTGCATGCGTGTGTGCATGTGTGCGTACATGTGTGCATGTGTGCATCTGTGTGTGCATGTGTGTGTACGTGTGCATCTGTGCATGCATGTGCGCATGTGTGTGTACGTGTGTGCATGTGTGCGTGCGTGTGTGCGTTTGTGCATCTGTGAGTGCGTGTGTGCCTCTAACTACCTATGTGCACGCATTCATATGTATGTTCATGCGCAGGCATGGTGCGGCATGCAGTGGAGGAGGGCATCGACCACCTCCTGGCATTGAGGGAGACTGATCCGGTGAGATCCAATAACCGATCCGTTGAGATCCAATGACCGATCTGGTGAGATCCAATGACCGATCCGTTGAGATCCAATGATCGATCCAGTGAGATCCAATGACCGATCCGGTGAGATCCAATGACCGATCCAGTGAGATCCAATGACCGATCCGTTGAGATCCAATGACCGATCCAGTGAGATCCAATGACCGATCCGTTGAGATCCAATGATCGATCCAGTGAGATCCAATGACCGATCCGGTGAGGTCCAATGACCGGTTCGGTGAGATCCAATGACCGATCCGGTGAGATCCAGTGGCCGATCCGGTGATCTCTGACACATAAGCAAGAGAGCCTGTTCAATGAACCTAGGGCCAGACACCCAGCAGCTAAGATTTTACACAATGGCCCACTAGCCAGGCTTGGTGTGGCATGCGGTGGAGGAGGGCATCAATTGGTGCAATGCAAGTACGGGTAGGCACCCTGTAACAAGAGGCTTGTGGCATTGATGGGTCTTGGGACGATGGAGCCGCCATACCCATAATGTATTTCCACCCCTCTTCCTGCCTTTGCTGTTCCTGTGGCTGGACCCTATGTGGCAATCATCTATACAGGAGAGAGATCTGCTTAGTCGCATGAGCTCCAAGATACAGCGGTTATGGCCAGAGTTTTTGCGAATTTGACGAGTGTTGATGGGTATGCAACATAATCTTGGCATTGAATTGAATTATGTATGTGCATGTGGGGCGTGTTCAAATGGTTCATCTTAATCTTTGTTTTACAGCTCTTCGTTGAGGAAGAGTTGATGGATGGGCTCGCATATTTTTTGTCCGTTGCCCTTGTGTGCATGCATTAAATTGAATGGTTGCTTTAGCTTATTAATTGTACAGACTCTAACTAACTTCCTACACCCTCGTGGTTACTCCAGCGCTCAATATCGATATCCCACCATCCCAGCGGAAGCTGGTCATACACCAATCTAACGCTGCCACGCAGCTCGTCACATCATCGTTACCGCCACCCTTTGCTCGAGCTACTGAACCGCAATTCCCGAGGGCCGTGGGCTGGTGTCTGCGACCGTGCCACTGTTGACGCCTTGTGGTCCCCCCGCCAGGCTTGTGCCGCCACTGCCTCGTTGTCTTGCCACCAAACCCGAGGGGCGTGCGCTGCGGTCTGTGGCGGCGGCGGGTTCTTCCTTGCGACTCCAGGCGCAGGCGTATTTTTACTGAAGCTGCACCAGCCTTGCTGCAAATTATTCTGTACCACTCATTCCGCACCACCATGCAAACTTCTGGCATACGGACGTACCATTTATATGAGTACTGACATTGAGGGTACTTTCTGGCTGAAAGCCAGCTGTACTCCATTGCTGCAACTAAGTGTAGGCTTGATTCTGCGCCGAACTTACCATCTAAACACACCCTGACTGAGCTGGACTTTTCTCTCCTCTCTCGCTCTCAGGGCGTGGAGCCTAGAGTTGCGCAACTTACCTAAGTTGCGCAAGCCGGTCTGGTTACGTTTCTCGTTAAAAAATTGATGAGGACTCGCAGTTCCTTATCGGCGCAAACATTTCGCCAAAACTGTAGCCAGTAGCGCAATTCCGGGTTCCACACACCTAGGATCCACGCCCTCACTCTCTCCCCCCTTCCTACGCTCCCCCCTCCCCCGTCCCTCCAGCAAAATGCGCTTCGAAACCCTTTCCTTTCATTTTCCCGCCAACCCAACCACATCCTCCCCTGCTCGCGCACTGTTCAACGGATCACTGAACAGCACATATTGTGCCAACCTGATTGGACCAGAGTCCATCAGATTGCACTGCGTCCGTGTGTTTTGCTTCACTGTCCAACTCAGCGTGGATCTGTGCTTTTGTGGGTAGGTGAGCTCCATAAACCCCCCCTTTAGGGTCCAGCGCTGCACGGCGCCTCCAGCGCAGTAAATCCCGCTCGAGTAGGTTGGGGCCTAAAACTCTTTCCGTTCCAACGCGCCACCGGCTGTGGCTGTGGCGATTTGCGAGGAAATTACGCTAGCTTGAGTGTGCTGGCTGAGGTTGTCGGTCGTTGCGGTGGCTGTGGCGTTGCTGTGCTCAGCTCTCAGCTTTCATATTTCTCTCTCCTAGACAAGAAGATGGCATTTTCTAGTCAGGCAACGGCCAGTGTTCAGGTAGTAGCGAGTAGTTCTCACCCTAGTGCTAGCGTAGCTGCCGGTGCGCGAGTAGCCTCCTCTCGTCTTAATCTCTCCGTCCAAAGCGGTCCGTCGTGCCGTCGCGATTACCCACCGTGTTCGCCTATTCACTATCCCTCCAGTGTCTCACTGCATAACAGTCGCGTTACAGAGATTAGTGGTTACACTTCGAAGCGAATTCGCACGTTCGCCATGGCTCCTGGCATCGATCTCGCCACCTGCGCCCCGAGACTAAGAGCGGAGTGCTTAAATCGAAACGTACGATCCAGATCTCACGGCCTACCTAGCTTCTCCCAGCCGGTTCCCGCCAAATCCAGCCAATCACTTTCCCTGAAGAATGCCGCCGCTCGCGCGCAGTCTCCCATTCCCGCGCTTTCCTCTCGGCGCGTCGATCAGGACCAATCAGACGCCGCCGCTCTGTCCTCTATCCGAGTCGCGTCGGCGCTGCAGTCTCTCGACGCGCCGGTCACCGAGCCGCCAGAGGCGCTGCCGCCGGAAGTGCCTTTCTCTGTCGTGATGAAGTTCGGCGGCTCGTCGGTGGCGAACGCGGCGCGCATGCGGGAGGTGGCAGATTTGATTCTGTCGTTCCCCGAGGAGAATCCGATCATCGTCATGTCCGCCATGGGGAAAACGACAAACAACCTGATCAAGGTGCGGCGTGCGGACATTGTCATACCAAATCTGGGGTTTCAGGACTCGTGAATCAGGGCAGGAGCTTCGAGCAATTGCCGGCCTGTCGGTAGCTTCGAGCGTACGAATGCCGGCCGGCCGGTAGTTTCGATAAGCCGTCTGAGAGACGCCGCCGGAGGATGTGTCCTAGATTTCCGGAGATTGATCGACAGCTGGCTACTGCAACTCGTCTCGCGTAAAACCATCGTGCCGATCACCGGATTTAGTGTAGTTGGGCGTTCAGGGGAGATTGTCAGCAGGCCGTTCATTACTCCAGTTCAGCTTTCGAGTCTCAACGACGACGCAATCATCTTAATCCCCGTTATTGGCAGGTCGGCGAGAGGGCGCTGACGTGCGGATCCGCCAAGTGCGCGGCGATCGACGAGCTGCGAGTGATCAGGGAGCTCCACGTGGCGACCATGGCGGAGCTCGACGTCGACTGCGCCGAAGTGCACGGTGAGTCAAACGGGGGAGTCAGTGTCGGGCTTCATGGGACGTGAATTCCCCCGTGCGACTTGAATTTTCCTGTGCGACCTGAATCTCCCTGTGCGACCCCCTGTGCGACCTGAATCTCCCTGTTGTGAATCTCGCTGGACCTCGCCGTTTCCCGTGATCCATTCCGCTGCTCTCTTGAAACTCGCTTCCATCTCCCAAACCCCTTTCTTAAACCCCTTCTGATGGCAGCAGTTGGTGACTGCCGTAATCCTCCTCTGAAAATCTCCCCTCCCCCCTTCCCCCCCCCCCCCCCCCCCCCGCCCCCCTCCCCTGACCCCGTCCCCTCCCCTCTCTCACCAGACCTGATGCACGAGCTGCAGCAGCTAGTAACGGGGATAGCGCTCATGCGCGAGCTGACTCCGCGCTCCTCCGACTACCTCGTGTCGTTCGGCGAGCGCTGCTCCACGCGCATCTTCGCTGCCTACCTCAACTCGCTGGGGATTCCCGCAAAGCAGGTACGATGCCACCTGAGTAACTAGCAGTGCAGGCAGGTGCAGACAGCTGGTAGCGGGGCGTACCAGCTCGGATGCTCTTTCAGACAATCCTTGAGCCGTCTGAGCTGGTGGGCTCTCAGTTGGACTCATTCAGTTGGACTCATTCAGTTGGGCCGCCGCATTCAAGTCCTCGCCGACGACCGCACTCAACTAGGGTGGTGGACCGCAGACACGTGGGCGGGATAACAACAGACGAGGTCAGCAACGCAGATGTGCTGGACGACTTTTGACGACTTTTGAGTCGACTTTTCAGACAGAGTCGACTCAAAAGTCGGCTCTGACATGCGGGACGTGCACCCTGTCCTGCGCCCTCCTGCCTCGGCCTGCCTCCCTCCCTTCAACCCGCTCTCCATCCCGACTCTCCCTCCAGTTCGATGCATTCAAGGGCGTGATCACAACAGACGAGTTCACCAACGCGGACGTGTTGGACGAGGCCCACCCCGCTGCTGCTGGTTGACGCCCCATGTGCTCGCCATTCATCCCTCCCTCCGCTCCCTCCCTCCCTCACTCCCTCCCTCCCTCCGCTCCCACCCAGTTCGACGCATTTCGCATGGGCGTGATCACAACAGACGAGTTCACCAACGCGGACGTGTTGGACGAGACATACCCCGCTGTGGCGCACACACTGCTCTCCGCCTATGACGCTCAGCACGAGGCGGCCGCTGCCAGCAGCGACGATGGCAGCAGTGCCGATGACAGCAGCAAGTTCATTCCAGTGGTGACTGGCTTTCTGGGAAGGGTGAGTTGGTTGGGAGGACAAGAGTGTGAGAGGTTTGAGAAGAGGGGTGGCTTGGGAGGACAACGCACTTACGCTGGACCAAAGATACCCGCCTGTGGCGCACGCCCTCCTCCCCGCCTATGACGCGCAGCAGGAGGCGGCTGCCGTTACCAGCGCCGATGGCAGCAGTGCCGATGACAGCAGCAGCAGCAGCAGCAGCAGCAGGGCGTTCATTCTGGTGGTTACGGGCTTTTTGGGGAGGGTGAGTTGGGGTGGGGAAGGGAGAGGAGGGGGAGTAAGGGGGTGGGTAGGACGAGAGGGGGAGGGAGAGTGAAAGGGGGGGCAGAATGAGAAGGTGCAGGGAGAGGAGTCTAGCAGAAGGAGTCTGTGGTTACAGGCGTTGTGGTTACGGGCTAGCAGAAGGAGTCTTGTGTGTGTGGCCATGCATGAGCAGTGCAGCATGTTAGGTGGGCTCGGTGGGCATCTGTGCATGTGGGCATGCATAGGCAGCGCATTAGGTGGGCTAGGGGCCGCTTCTAAGCACTCCGTTGCAACAATAGCAAGTCCGGATGGGTGAACTGCCTCCCTGCCGGGACGCCTCTCTGCAAAGTCCGTCCGCCTCTCTGCTTGGGTGCAAGCTACTGACGTGGTTGGACCGTAGCTTGCTTGCATCCATGTCGGTTGCTTCCAGATTTCGTTTGGCAGCGCTCAGCAACAAACAAGCTGCCTCACTTTCCTCTCCCCTCCTCCGTCCCTCCCCTCTTTCGCTCCCCCCCCTCAGGGCAAGAAGACGGGCGCAACGACCACCCTGGGGCGGGGGGGCAGCGACCTGACAGCCACCATCATCGGGCGCGCGCTGGGCCTGAGAGAAGTCCAGGTGTGGAAGGACGTGGACGGGGTGCTCACATGCGACCCCAACCTCTACCGTGGCGCCGTGCCCGTGCCCTTCCTCACCTTCGAGGAAGCTTCCGAGCTGGCCTACTTCGGAGCGCAGGTGCTGCACCCGCAGAGCATGCGGCCTGCGAGGGAGGGCAACATCCCAGTGCGAGTGAAAAACTCGTACAACCGTAGCGCTCCGGGGACTCTAATCACGCAGGATCGGGACCTCTCATCCACGCTTCTGACCAGCATTGTGGTCAAGCGGGGGGTGACGCTGCTGGATCTGGTCAGCCTGAGGATGCTCGGGCAGTTTGGGTTCCTGGCGAAAGTTTTCGCGATCTTTGAGGCACAGGGGATCTCGGTGGACGTGGTGGCGACGAGCGAGGTCAGCCTGTCGCTGACGCTGGACCCTGCGAAGCTGTGGTCGCGGGAGCTGATACAGCAGGAGCTGGATAAGATGGTGGAGGAGTTGGAGAGGGTGGCGGTGGTGAAGCTGCTGCAGAGACGGTCGATTATCAGTCTCATTGGGAACGTGGGGCGGTCGTCGGTGATCCTGGAGAAGGTGTTTGGCGTGTTCAGACGAAACGGAACCAACGTGCAGATGATCTCGCAGGGTGCTTCCAAGGTGAGAAAGTTGGGGGGAAGGGGGGGAGGGGAGGGGGGGGGGGGGTGGGCTTGGTTGATGGCTGGGCGTGCTGGTTTGCCATATTGGTGTTTGGCGCGTTCAAGCGACACAGGGCGAACGTGCAGTGCTGCAGTTGATCTTGCAAGGATCATCCCAGGGTGGGGGGAGGTGTGTAGATTGGGGAGGTGTTGGTAGTGTGTGGGACTGTGTTATGTTGTCATGTGTGATGTGTCTTCGTCCCATGAGGCATGCATGGCAAGGCTGCGAATTCCGAGTTGGAGTGGATGATATGTGCGATATTCAGTTGTTCAGTTGCACTTGGTTGTGCTGCATAGGCCTCTTCCTCTTGGCTTTAACCTTCGTGCTCCTCTTCACTGTCTCGTCTGCAGGTAAACATTGCTTTGGTAGTGGATGATGATGAGGCTACAGAATTGGTGCAGCTGCTACACAAGGAGTTTTTCAACGCATAGGGTAGGATAGGACCTGCTGCAGTGTGTCATGGCTCAGCAAAAGCTGTGCATGTATGCTTGATTATTTCTGTGAAGTGTATTGTATGTAGGATTTTCCCCAATAGTTTCCAAGTTCGGCTGGTTTCACAGTATAGTATAATTCTAATATTAACGTGACCGTTATGTGTGTTAGGAGGCTCCCATGAGCAAACACCTGCTGGGTTCCGCAGTGTATCGAGTTTCAGAACACTGGCCTTACGCCGAAGCACGCCCTGTCATGTAACAAAGATCCTTCTCCGGCCAGGTCAACAGGTTCTCCCCAAATGAATCTTGCCATGTGGCATGGCTGACTGGGCGAGCGACAATTCCAGGTCCAGGGTAAAGGAATCTCCACGGCCCTTGGGATAGGCAACCTCGCCAATGGCGCACATCGAACCTACATGCCCAGGTTGCAGTCACTCTTTTATTTGGAGACCCCATTTGTAGCACAGTCTCCAGAACTCTGTCCATTCAGCCTCGAGAGCCTCGAATTGCTACAGTGCTGGTCGGTTCAGCAGAAGCAGCAGGAGGGTCCCAGATTCCTCTCGGGAACTCTGTCCCAGCCTTCCCTTCCTCCCCTCCCCTACCCCCATCCTCCAAATTCCAATTTCCCATCCCTTGCACACTTGCATTTCATATTTGCATTTCACTGCCACCAGAACAGCAATTTGCATTTGCATTAGCTAGCTGGACAATTCAACTCCGTGAGGGGATGCAGTAATAGTTGTACGCTGGTCCTGCCGGCTGCGCTCCCTATCCGATTGGAATCTGTGACCCGCCGACGAGAGTGCTAGTCGCGCAGTGTTCACTGGCGTTGCTTCTTGTTGCCTGCAAACCGCCACACAACCGCCGCACGCCTCAAATTCCGCATAGTCCGACATGGCTGCCGTCTCCGCCGTCTCCGCCGTATCCTCCGTGTCCAACATGGCAGTAAACAGTCATCGTATGCGTGCTTCCACGTGCGACGGGTTCGCTCGTCAGCCGAATAGCAGGCAGCGGCGGTCATTGAGGTATGCCATTCGGCGGCAGACAGCAGGTCATTCGGCACGCTTATGCCACGAGTCATGGAGGTCCATGCCTCCATGGCAGACATGGGGGTATGCCAGCAGCGGTTTTATAGTTAAATTGCTGTCATGCCGTGCAATCCGTTCTTCATCTTCAGGGTGTTTTTTAGAATTCTCTAAGACACTCTCGTGCTATGGCAGCCATGGAGGTATGCCAGCAGCGGTGTCCTAGTAAGATTGTTCAATGCGTTATTCCGCCAGCTCGCGACGTGAGTCACGCTGCTTTCACATCGTCCCCCTCTCTTCCCCCCATCCCCCCATCCCCCCCATTCCCTCCTCCCCAGCAGCGCCGTCACACCTGCTCCGTGCGGTTTCCTCTCTGCCCCCTCCGCCCTTGCGCCTTCCGCCCTTGCGCGCGCTGATCCGCGATTGCTGCGGAAGGTGAGGGGCATGGCAGGCTTTGTCTGGCATGGAATCCGCGACCTGGGTGCGATGTTATGAGCGCTTGGCATGGTAAGGATTAGATGGAAGCGAGTTTTGAGACGTCTTTAAATATGGCAGGCTTCGTGTGGCATGAGATTTGCGGCCTGGATGCGATGCCACGAACGCTTAGCATAGTGAAGGATTAGGTGGAATCGCGTTTCATAATGCAAGCTCCAGAAGATTGACAGTAAACTGACAACATGTCGACAAGGTGACACGGTGACACAGCGACATGACAACATGACACCATGCTGACATGACAGACATGACAGCCATGACAGCGTGACAATATGGCAACATGAAAGGGTGAAAACATGCCGCCACAACTTGGCATGCTGAAATCTTTCCCGTCTTCATCCTGCCTGACCCATCGCCAGGCCAACCACGCCGCAGCACCAGAAGCCGCAGCAGTAGAGGGGTACGCGATAACGACAAATGAGGCAGAGAGGGGTGGGGGGGGGAAGGGAGAATGTATCAGTGCAAGTGGTGGCTATAAACAATCACTCAGTCGAAGATGCGAGTGGGAGGATGTGCCAGTGGCGGTGGTGGTGATAGAAGATAGAGAAGAGCGCGACTGTGGTGGAACTCCGCTCCATCTCTTCCCCATCTCTTCCCCATCTCTTCCCCATCTCTTCCCCATCTCTTCCCCATCTCTTCCCCATCTCTTCCCCATCTCTTCCCCATCTCTTCCCCATCTCTTCCCCATCTCTTCCCCATCTCTTCCCCATCTCTTCCCCATCTCTTCCCCATCTCTTCCCCATCTCTTCCCCATCTCTTCCCCATCTCTTCCCCATCTCTTCCCCATCTCTTCCCCATCTCTTCCCCATCTCGTCCCCATCTCTTCCCCATCTCTTCCCCATCTCTTCCCCATCTCTTCCCCATCTCCAGGCCAGCCACACTTCCGCAGCAGCAGCAGCAGCAGAGGGGCAACCAGCAGTGACTTCACTGACAACGGAAAGAACGGGAAGAGTGGGAGAGAACGTGCCATCGCCGAAGGTGGTAGCAGCAATGGTGGAGGAATGTCCACTTTGTAACCCCTCTTTCCCTCGCCCCCTACATCCCTCCGTTGTCTGCTGCTTTTCCAGGCCCGCCACACTGCAGCAGCAGCAGCGGAGGGGCAACCCGCGGTAACAACCGATGCAAAGGAGGGAGAGGAGGTGCCAGTGCCGGTGGTGGTGATCGACAATCATTCGGAGGAGAACGCGACTGTGGTGGAGCTGGAATTTGGGGACAGGCTCGGCGCGCTCATGGACACGGTGAGTGCGAGGGGAGGCAAGGTGGAGGCTTGGTGACTGACAGGCTCAGTGACAGGCGCGGTGGCAGGCGCGGGGACAGGCGTGTAGCACTAACGGAGACGGTGAGTGCCAAGGAGAGTACCAACAACGAACCTGGCAAACAGGCTTGTTACAATCCCCCAAACCCATCACTCTTCGTCCCATGCCCTCACCCTCCAGATGGCGTCTCTACGCAGTCTGGGCCTGGACGTGATGAAAGGGCTGAAGAGGTTGCAACACCATTGCTCATCTTTATTACTCCTCTTCCCGCTCATCCCACCCTTCCATGCCCTCGCCCCTCGCAGATGGCAGCTCTGTGCAGTCTGGGCCTGAGCGTGGTGACTCTGGAGGGCGGGTGGCTCTGGAGAAGAACGCAGCCCCGTCTCCCTTATCTCTATTGCTCCTCCTCTTCCCCATCCCACCCTTACCGAAGACGACTCTGTGACGTCTGCTTTTGAGCGCAGTGAACGGGCAGGTGACTTCACCGGCAACATGTCGGTTTGCTCGCTGCTCTCCCCTCCTTGCCTTCCCGCCTTGCCCCTCATCCCACCCCTCCAGATGGCGGCTCTTCGCAGCCTGGGTCTCAACGTGGTGAAGGGGCGGGTGACGACCATCGGCAACGTTGCTCGCAACAAGTTCACCATCACGCAGGAGTGAGTAGGGGGGGGGGGGGAGGGGGTGGGATGGCCAAGGGGGAAAGGGGAAAGGAAGTGAGGTTCGGGAAAGGACGACAGTAGTGAATAGGGTAACCACCACTGGCAGCGCAGTTCACCATCACTCAGGAGTGGGACGGGGTGGGAGGGGGGAGGGGTTGGCCAAAGGTGAAAGGGAGGGGAAAGGGGAGTGTAAGGGAAGAGGGGGGAGGAGGGTGTGTGTGTGGTGGGGGGAAAGGGAGGGCAAGGGCGAGGGGTAGTGAACAGACGGGCGGGCGGGTGACCACCATGGTCAGCGGTGCTGACAACAGGTTTGGTATTACCCAGGATTGAGTGGCATCCCGTCCCGCGCATGCCATACGGATCTATGCAGTCCGTTCTCACCACACATGCCAACCCGTCCCATGTGCCATGCGCCTTATGCTCCAAGCAGGGGCGGCAAGGTGGAGAGAGCGGAGATGATTGAGGCCATCCGAGGCACCATCATCTCCAACCTCCTCAAGTACCACCCGGTGAGTGCGCTAGGTCTACCACCTGGTATGCACAAGGTATACCACCTGGTGAGTGCGCTAGTGAGTGTGTTGGTTACCACCCACTCATGCCATGCCATGTCATAATCAGGCCATCAGAGGCCATCAGAGGCCATCAGAGGCCATCAGAGGCCATCAGAGGCCAGCAGAGGCACCATCATCATCAACCTCCTCAAGTAGCACCCGGTGAGTTTTTGAGTCGACTCAAAGCACCCGGTGTGCGCGCTGGTATGTTACTGGTCAGGCATTTGTTCTTGTCTGTCCGCACAGTATTTCTTTGGCCAGATGGTTACCAATCAGCCTGCCATTGAGAAGAGAAAGCGTCGTTGGTGTCATTGGGGTAACACCTCCATTCATGTTGCCGTCATCCTGCTGTGTAACACTCATGCTGTGTAACACTCATGCTGTGTAACACTCATGCTGTGTAACACTCATGTTCCTCTCCCCTCTCCCCCCATCGATGGCCGACTCTCATCAGCAAAAGCTCATCATTTCCGTGGATGTGGACACTCCACGTGTCCCCAGCCCAGACACCCTCTCGCGTTTTCCGCCGTATTTCCCTGCCTTCCCGCTCCCTCCCCTCCCCCCTTACTCTCCCGCCCCCCTGCCCCCATCTGTCACATCTGTGTATCAGGAGTCCGGCTCTCAGCTGGCGATGGGCCTCACGTGCGACTCGCCGCCTTGCAATGTGAGTTAGCGGCTCGAAGGGGGGAATGGGGTGGGTGGTGGGTGGTGGGTGATTGTGGGGAATGGTGTTAGACGAGGTTTGTGTGGATGTGCCTTGTGCCTCCCATGCTACTCGCCGCCTTGCATTGTGAGTCATTGGGTGGTGGTGGTGAATTGGGGGGGGGTGGCGATGATAGAGCGTGGGAACTGGGTAGGGTGGTGTTGTGGCTTGGTGGAGACGTGTGGTTGTGCCATGGGCCGTGCAACTCCGATGCACGGGACGATTGAAGACCTGCAGTCTGGATTGTCCAACGTCTGGGGTTGGTGAAGCAGATGAAAGCGGGATACCTGAACTGTCGTCGCAAACGATGTGGAGGACCAGGGGAGGTGGGGGAAACCTACGAGCAGGCTGCTGGATTGTTAAAACAAGTCACTGTTCCCTAGACAATACGGACTGGAGGTGCAAAAAGCAGTTGGCTTGCGTAAGGGCAATAAGGGCAATAAGGGCAATAAGGGCATGCTGTGAACGAAGCAATTGGCAAAATGCCAATTTTAATCGAGTCAAACGAAGCCTTCGCCGGCCAACGTCAACGCAGACTGTAGCTCAGAGTTGTGCAACGTTGTGTTGTGTTGGTGTGTAATGAGTCTATTTTTTAGTCGACTCATTACACACAGGGTTGTGCAACGTTGTGTTGTGTTGGTGGAAATCCCTTCAGTACACGCAACCCTGGAGCGAGTCAGCGAGTTCAGCGAAGGCTGGCCAAAAAGTGGGTCAGTTCGTGGCTCGCCATCCAATCATTCCCTTCCCCCCACTTTCAATTGTTAAACTTTTGGACAATCTGGACCGCAGGCTTTAAGGCATCCCCCTCCCTCACATTCCGCCAAGCTACATTCCCCGCGTGCTAGACTCCCCCGTGCTAGATTCCCCCAATCTACATTCCCCGCGTGCTAGACTCCCCCGTGCTAGATTCCCCCAAGCTACATTCCCCGCGTGCTAGACTCCCCCGTGCTAGATTCCCCCAAGCTACATTCCCCGCGTGCTAGACTCCCCCGTGCTAGATTCCCCCAAGCTACATTCCCCGCGTGCTAGACTCCCCCGTGCTAGATTCCCCCAAGCTACATTCCCCGCGTGCTAGACTCCCCCGAGCAAGGTTGCAACACACCAGGGTCCCACACCCCTACCAGACCGTACCTGCACCTGCACCTGAGGGAGCAGACGGACCGAGCCTGGTGCAAGGTTCTGCCATTGGTCTCCTCTCCCCCAGTCTTGTCCGTTCCCCCTCCTCCCCTCCCCCAACCCGCAGCCAGAAATCATCACACGCCTCTCCTTGACTCCTCTCCTTGACTCCTCTCCTTGACTCCTCCTCTCCCACCAGGCGCCACACGGGAAGAGAGCTGGTGGAGGCGGCAGACCGGCCAGGTCTGCTGATGAAGATAGTGGGCGTGCTCTTGAAGCAACCCCCCCTTTCTCCCCCTATTTTCTGTTTTCCCCTCCACCCTCCGCAACACTGCAGCCAGGGAAAGCCACACGCCTCTCCCTCACACCTCTACCAGAGATTAGAATTCTCAAAATTCGATCGCCAAGCACCTCTCCCTCACACCGCTACCAGAGGTTTTTGAGAGTTCGCGAAAATCAATCTCCACTGGCATCGAGATTCGAGCTGAGGATGGAAGCGGAAGACAGACCGCGGAGCGACCTGCTGATGGAGACAGTGGGCGAGGGCGTGCCTTCGAAATAACCCCTCCTCTCGCAAACTCTTGCCTGTTCTCCCCCTCCCCTCCCCTCCCCCTTCCAACCGGCAGCCGGGGATCCCAACACGCCTGTCGCTTACACCTCTGCCAGACGCCACCGGTAGCAAGTTGAGGGTGGAGGCGGCGGACAGACCAGGGCTGCTGATGGAGATAGTGGACGTCCTGGGAGGGATGTCTGTCAGTGTGACGTCAGCTGAGATCGACACCGAGGTGAGGGTGATGTCAGCATAAATCGACACCGAGGTGAGAGTGACGTCAGCATAAATCGACACCGAGGTGGGGATGACGCCAGCAGTTTCCACTATAGTTTCTGCACATAGTGGTTTCGTGTACCCTCTCCCACACGACTGTTCTACTCATGCAAGCTGTTCTACGGTGTGTTTTGTTGTCTTGTGCACCCATCTCCTACGCACCATGTATCATGCGCCCACGTCTTTGCAGGGAGTGGTGGCGAAGGATGTGTTCACCGTGTCGTACCACGCTCAGCCGTTTTCTTGTATATTCACCATCCCCCATCCCCCATCCCCATCTCCCATCTCTCATGCGCCCACGTCTTTGCAGGGAGTGGTGGCAAAGGATGTGTTCACAGTGTCGTACCATGGGGGGCCGCTGGACGAAGAGATGACCACGGTGAGATGAGATGACCAACAACACGCTCCTTTTTTTCGCGCCCCAGTGTTACTCAATCGCTTCAGTGTTACTCACTCTTCCTCCCCTCCCAGTGCATCCCTCCTGGCTAACTCTCCACGCCCTTAATCACAGTCCTTTCCCCCCTCCCCTCCTCCCTCTCCCTCGCCCACCTTGCTCCCAGCTGACTCTCAACGCCCTCAACTACACTCTCTCTCGGCCAGACATCGAGGCGGAGGAGAGCTACTAGTGTCTTGACTTGAGGCACCTTATAACGAGGCGGAGGAGAGCTGCTAGTGTCTTGACTTGAGGCACCTTATAACGAGGCAGAGGAGAGCTGCTAGTGTCTTGACTTGTGGCACCTTTTAACGAGGCGGAGGAGAGCTACTAGTGTCTTGCCTTGAGGCACCTTATGTGAAGGCAGAGGAGAGCATCTAGTGTCTTGCCTCGAGGCACTTTATAACGAGGCTGAGGAGAGCATCTTGTCTCGAGGCTCCTTTTTTAGGCTGAGGGGGGCTACTTCTGTAAACTTCAAATATGACATCGACTTCACAGGGGCGACATGGGCCTCCGTTGATGGTCGTCTGTAATTATGATTGAAACGTCTCATCACATAACATCCCGCTTTCAACAGACACTGCGGTAAGCCCCGTCAGATGTGACATGAGGAAAGGCCACTACCGTACCCTGGCAGTTGGTGAGCTCTCACAGTACTGACATGGAACAGAGGTGAGTCAGTGCAATTTTGGTAACATGGTCGTACGGTAGTAGAGAATAACAGGCACGATGGATGAGATGGAGGAATGTCGAGAAGGCAATGGAACAGTGGTAACAAATCCTTACAAGCTGAAAATAGTGCTCACTACTATTTCGACATGAATACTCTCAAACAGCCAGCAGCACATGAGTTAAAAAATCCGGCATTTTTTAGTCCATTAACTGTCAGAAGCTTGGCAGCAGCAGCAGCAGCAGCAGGAGCACCTAGAGGCACACCCATCCACCTGTGAGCGCTGCTGCTGCGGCCAAGCTCTGGCAGTAATGGAGAACAGGAAACCCCCATAGCCTCCTACCGCAACACTAGGGTGACCCGTGGAGGGTGACTCGTTGATGCCATCCCCAGTACCCGCATTAGGATGATGCCACCCTCCAAACGGAGTCATCTCGTCGTTTCTTTTAACGCCCCATGCCTCCACCCATACCACCATCCATTGCCCCCCCAGGACTCATGGCTGCTTCTGAGCCTGGAGAATATGACCCTGGTCTGCCCATGCCTCCACCCATGTTGCCGCCGGACCCCCCCATTCCTCCGCCCATCCCAGGTCCGCCCTGTCCGGGTGCTGCCTGCGACCCCGGAGCAAACAACCCGGAGCCGTCCATGCCTCTGCCACCCAATCCGTCGCCGCCCATTCCGCCGCCACCCATTCCGCCACCACCCATTCCGCTGCCGCCCATTCCGCCGCCGCCCATTCCGCCGCCACCCATCCCACCGCCGCCCATTCCACCGCCACTCATTCCGCCACCGCCCATTCCGCCACCGCCCATTCCGCCGCCACCCATTCCGCCACCACCCATTCCGCCGCCGCCCATTCCGCCGCCGCCCATTCCGCCGCCACCCATTCCGCCACCACCCATTCCGCCGCCGCCCATTGCGCCGCCGCCCATTCCGCCGCCGCCAATTCCGTCGCCACCTATTCCACCGCCGCCAATTCCGCCGCCGCCCATTCCGCCGCCACCCATTCCGCCACCGCTCATTCCGCCACCACCCGTTCCGCCTCCGCCCATCCCTCCGCCGCCCATCCCTCCGTCGCCCATTCCGCCGCCGCCCATTCCACCGGCACCCGTTCCGCCTCCGCCCATTCCGCCGCCGCCCATTCCTCCACCACCCATTCCGCCGCCACCCATTCCGCGCCACCGCCAATTCCGCCGCCACCCGTTTCGCCACCGCCAATTCCGCCGCCACCCGTTCCGCCTCCGCCCATCCCTCCGTCGCCCATTCCTCCGCCGCCCATTCCGCCGCCGTCCATTACGCCACCACCCATTCCGCCGCCGCCCATTCCGTTGCCGCCCATTCCTCCACCGCCCATTCCACTGCCGCCCATTTCTCCGCCGCCCATTCCGCCGCCGCCCATTCCTCCACCACCCATTCCGCCGCTGCCCATTCCGCCGCCACCCATTCCGCCACCGCCAATTCCGCCGCCACCCGTTTCGCCACCGTCAATTGCGCCGCCACCCGTTCCGCCTCCGCCCATCCCTCCGTCGCCCCGCCCATTACGCCACCATCCATTCCGCCGCCGCCCATTCCGTTGCCACCCATTCCTCCACCGCCCATTCCGCCGCCGCCCATTCCGCTGCCGCCCATTCCTCCACCACCCATTCCACCGCCCTGCTGCTGCTGCTGGCCTGTCGAGCGTCCGCCTTGCGCCTTTCCGCGCATCATTCCGCGCAGCTTGTCCACAGGGAGCCCCGTCGAGAAGCGTAAGGCCAACGAGGCGTGGAGAGAGGAGAACAGGACGAGGGAGAGGAGGAGAAGGGCCGTGCTAAGGCTACGGCGAAGATGGTGGCTCGGCGAGAAAGACACTCTCTCCGCCATTGCGCTGGAGCTGCTGAAAGAGAACGAAAGTGTCGCGAGCTACTAGAATCTTTTCCCAACCAGGAAGAGTTGTGCCGAGAGAGAAATCAGTCAATTTCTGTCTGCAGGTTGAAGCTGAATGAATGGCTGAACGAATTGCCACATTTTGTATCCTCAGCGCGTCGCGAGTCCTTCGGAAATCGCGAGCAGGGCTCTCGCTAGGTTTTCTCCCACCTCGGACGATCCGAGCCCCACGAAAAATCACTCTGTAAAATCCGACTTCGTAAAAAAACTACCCTGATTCTTCAGGGTCTGCGTTCGAAAAAGCCTGATAGAGAGTTGGCAGTTTTTGTTGAACGAGACATAGGGGTTGCGAGTGGGAGAGCTTCGGGTTGGGAAATCCGCCACCACAGACGCACCTGTGAAGAAGCTAAATTTGGGCCAAGAGGGCCAGGGAGAAGGGGGGTGGGGGGAAGGGCTGGGGCGATTTTGAGTGGCATGAACATCTGTTCGTGGCTGCTCATTTTAAAACCTGCTGCTAAGTGACCATTGATGCGGAAATACAGGTGTTCTAGCTCCTTGGCACCTTAGGGCGTGGTTCATTTCCCAAGAAACATTCGTTTGAATGCTTACCGCACTTAATCGTATAAAAAACCGACAGCAACACACAGAAACGTACAGGAACCATGGCAATATTCGAGTTTAAGCTATTCGATCCCTGCCGTTATACAACTTTCCCCAAGTTTGGGAAAGGGAAGGGTGAGGCTAAGGGGGGAAAGGGAGGACTGGGGACCTTGAGATATTCCCACACCTTCTGGAGGCTACACTGGTGTCCGGTCCAGGTCCTCCCAAAATCCTCCCGGACTCTACAGGTGAGTAGGGAACTCTTCATGAGTTTTTCAGGGCTGGGAATATCTCGGTCGAAAAACACAGCGTCGGTCGAAAAATAACCTGGATTTCCAGTCAATTCAGAATAATTACCCTGTTAACACGTGCCCTAATCGCGAGGCCTTCGTTCATGTAGTGCATGGCTCGGCCGGTCAAACAATGGACCAAGGAGCGGAAGCCACAAGTCAACGAAACGTTGACATGGATATGTTTACAAAACATTCCGTAGACGCAATAACACAGTTTAATTATGTAGAATTGAACCACATGTTTAGGATGGCCAGGATTTAGAATTGGTGGAACCACAAGTAAAAGTCAAGAGAAGACTGTACGTACACACTGTATTGGAAATGTCTGAAATGACAAGGATAATAATAATGGGTAATACAGATATATTTATAGTATAGGAATGATCTATTCGAAATGTACCTGTTCGTAGTGTATCGCGACTTTTCGTGTGACATGACTAGTGCATGTTCGTATGACAGAGTGGCACTGGCACATACGAACCTACTGTTAACGCGTTGGCTCGCTACTGCTTATCAGAATGAGAGAAAAGAATGGTTGAGTAGTGGGAGAGTACAGATAGATATACCTAAGTATTGTACCCTCTAAGAGGTGACCCTATATAGTTTATGCAAACATAACAATTACACATGTTTGACACACCCCCTAGACTGCATAGGGGAATGTCCTGAACAAGCAGCTCAGAGCGGCACTACTAGTCCAACCTCTGAGACAAGGGTCTAAAAGACCAGTCAGAAGGAGTACAGACAAGGCAAGAACAAGACCAGGGCGGCACTACTAGTCCAGCCACTGGGAGAGGACACAAGTCCCGTCTGAGTATACATATAAAGGACAGTACAAAGTCAAGGCCCTAGCAAGTGAGAGGCTACAGGGACTAGACCAAGCTGTACGCAGTGCCGCTGATGATCTTTAGGCGCAAGCGCCTTCGTAAAGATATCAGCTGTATTGGCACCGGAGGCCAAGTGTACTACGCGCACCTGGCGACGCTGCTGCAGCTCACGCAGGAGGAAGTACCGCAGCTGAATGTGCTTCGCTCTGCCCTCGAGTCGAGGCTCCAGACACAGGAGGATCATGGCCCTGTTGTCAGCGAACACGACCGGGGCAAAGCTAGGCCGCTCACCTAAGTCAGTGAGCAAGAAGGTCAGCCAGCGGAGCTCCTGTGCCGCCATGGCACCAGCGTAGATCTCGGCCTCACAGCTGGACTGAGCAACAGACGAGGAGCGGGTAGCTCTCCACGAGACGGCATCTGAGCCAAGGCTGAAGCAGTAGCCCTGGGTAGACCTGAGTGTCTCGGCGTCGTCTGCCCACGAAGCGTCGGTGTGTCTAGTAAGGACCATTGGCCTGCGTCCTCCTAGCACTAACCCCATGCCTGATGTACTAGCAAGATAACGCAAAACCCTCTTAGCGGCAGACCAGTGCTGCGGTCGGTGTCTGCTTGTGGCCACAAAGCGAGCCAGGATGCTGAGAGGGTATGCGAGATCTGGGCGAGTGCAAGTCATCAGGTACATGAGGCAACCCACCAGCTCTGCGTAGGGGCCGCTGGGCTCAACCGATTCCTCAGACACTGGAGCGGGGAGTCTGTGGTCTACAGGCAGAGGGGTGGGCTGTGCAGAGGAGAACTGAAGGCTGAACCTCTGAAGGACCTGGCGCACCAAGTGTGACTGACTCAGGGTGATGGTGTGTGCTGCTCTGTCCCTGGAGAACTGCAAGCCAAGGTAACGGCGCAGTTCTCCAAGGTCAGTGCACGTGTGTCTCTTCAGCAGCTCTGCCTTCACGGAGGCCAGTGCGTCCCTGTCTGCTGTGGCAAAGACCAGGTCGTCGACGTAAACAAGGATGTAGAACGGAGTCTGGCCAGCACGAACGAAGAGTGAGGGGTCTGCGGAAGACGGAAAGAACTGCAGGTCAGCAAGCGTAGCACGGAGAGTGTCGTGCCACTCACGGGGAGCCTGGCGCAGGCCGTAGACGGGGCGCCGCAGGAGCCACTGGGTCCCAGGAGGGAAGGTGCCAGTAAAGCCCTGAGGGCGACGCAAGTAACCTGCTCGTGTAGGCTGCCCTGTAGGAAGGCAGTGGAGAAGTCGAGGGAGTGAAGCTCGTAGTCGCGCTGAGCAGCTAGGTGTAGCAGGACCCGAAGAGTAGTCATCTTT